TTAAGGAATTTTTCCTGAATGCGATTGATCAACTGAATGGTATAGATCATATCCTTTAGCCAGTATGAGTTATGAACACGTAACTAACACTATAGGGTCAGAAAAATTTTGTGATTTCAGAAATTGACCTTTCAGGTTTCAAGTCTGAGCTCTTTAACATTCACCGTTGGTGAGTTATGCCTGCATGAAGGCGTAAAATGAACAAAACGCCCGGTATGCATACTCGATATTCGTTGATCTGTGTAAAGTGTCAAAGACTCTTCAAGAATCAAATCCTTCTAGAAGATCATTTTAATTCAGTCTTCTCTTGATGAATTATTAAAGAACAGAAAAGATAAATGCCTCAAGAGAATAAACAGGATGATGGAAATTTAGTGAAACGAAAGAAAACAAAAAGGCGAAAACTTATATCAATTTTATTATAAATGCTTCATTTTTCTTTCAATCATCTCAAAAAACAGTTTTTATCCAAACGATAATTGATTAGTAAGGTAGTTGATTTTTATGATCATCATCTGGATTTAGACTAGATGGGTTATCTATTTAACTGTCCAGGTTGTGGAGATGAATCACCCTCTTGAAATCTGAATAACTCTTTTTGAACAGCATTTGCTGTTCTGACGGTAATACTGTTGCTTCTTTTGAAGATTTTGAAGACTTTTGGTTAAATTCTGAAGGTTATACCAGTTGGAAAGATGGCTCCTCTAAAACGATTGAAAACCAGAATACGGAACTAACGCATGGTACAAAAGTTTGTGATTAAAGTCAATTCAATGCCCAGTTCCTAAATCGGATAATCCAAAAGATAGTGCTTATAATGCTTCTAGCAATTTGAGGAGAAAACTCTCAATGCTAATGTCTCTATGACAGTGCTAGCGAACTTGACATGGGAAGGTCGCGGTATGAAAACACTCATATCTCCTGACCAATTAAAGTTATAATCTTGCAACCAACATCAAACCATCTGAAAAATTTGTTCTATCAGAAAATGACCTTCACATGTCAACTAGAGGTCAAATAGCGGTTTGACCTTGAATAACCTTGAGCGTCCTCACTTATGGTTCTTCAATCTGCGTGCAATCTGCATAAGGTATAAGGCACAGGTACCTCAGGTTTCAAGTCAGAGCTCTTTTTGAATCAAATCTAATGATGATTTTGGTTGATTGAATTTTCAATTGAATCTGTTGGTATGATCATATTTTCATTTTTGAAGGTTAATTATGCTGGTTATTGACTTGAGATGATGAAATTGTAACTTAGCATCGAAACATTAATGATTGAAAGCATGTTTACTTTCTCTGTTTATACCTTAATCCAATTTAGTTTTGTAATAATGTTCAATTGATTAATCAATCACTAATTGAATAGGTTGAATGAAGTTTCAGCTGAAAAGAAGAGCAACAAAAAAAGGTATTTCCAAAGCTAATCAATTAATAATAGAGTCAACTCTTTTTCAGTTTTTTTCTGTGTGTTTACCAATACAAAACTTCTCACTAATCCAAGTATGATATTAAAGTCGATTTCTTGATTAACATTGATTGATGATTGTCAACAATCATGATGGAAGCACGGGAAACGCAATGAGAAAAGAGAAAAGAAAAAAATGCTCAAAAAAAAGAGATTCAACACACATAATCACATGGAAATTAATGTCATGATGATGACATTGATAAACTTACAATTGACATTAATTATCTGATTGATTAATAACCAATTGATGGCAACAAAATGCCAGCAAAAGCAAACCGATAATAAACGTTGATAAACTTTTCACTCCCAGTAAACCGATAACCGATAACTTGGTAAATGTCGAGTTTTCAATTGCAACCAATGGAGGAAATTAAAGTGAAGAGGAAAAGATGAACAAGATAAAAGTTGAAAAGATGAAGAAAACGAATAATTGTTTCCATGAAAAGGGTTTATCAATATTATCAGTTGAATGCTGGATAAAAGTATAATTTGCCATTGAAATAGTTCGATATTAACTTCATTTTTCTTTCATTTTTCTTCTTCTTTTCATAATAATCTATTGTCACGTTAATCTTACCATGAACAAAAATGGAAAGCTTGAAACTGCAAGAACTCGACATTTTTAAACAGTTGACAATAGTTACGATATAATAAGTTGAACTTTCCATTGAAACTTTATAATGCTTATTCCTTTCTCCTCTTCAAATGTATTATTCAACTCTAATATTATTATAAAAGTATAATAGATGACTGAAGGCGATATTTTCTGTTGAACCATTTTCCCTGTTATTGATGTTTTTGTTTTTATCTCGAGTCGAACTGGAAAACGATCCTTGAAAAGATAATTCCAAGTGAATTGCAGTTTAATGAACAACAAATGAAATCGCAATTTTTCCCTTTTCTTTAGCTTCACCTTATGCATAATGAGCTGTAAGATGAGGACCATGACGATAGAGTTAAGTGATTGTTATCTTACCCAAAATCAAACAAGTTTCACAGTTAAAATGATTACTTGGTGAAAGTCAAATAAACAAGATAAAACAAGATTCTTAACCATTCCGAGTATAATCAGGATAAAGCCGCAGGGAAAGTTTCAGTCTCTTGAGATAATTGAGGTTACTTAATTCAAACGATAATACAATGGAAGACACTTAATAATATTTTGTTTCTCTTTTCTTCTTCTTCTTCTTTTTTTGCGTCTTTTCTTGTACTTTTAGTTTCGCTTTCAATATTATCATTTTGTTATTCAACTTTATAATCCGACTTTGCCAACATTTTTATTCAACATTTTCAAGTTATCTTCTGTTATGTTGAATTTAAATGAAACGAATAAACAGATTGTTTTTAGATTTCAATTTTCCATTTTGTTCTATTTGCATATTTTGATCGACAAGCAAACACAATAAGAAACATTTAGAAAGTTATAATTTCTCGATTAATGAACAATCTTGATTCACTCGCTAAAATTTAAACTGGTGAGCTTAGAAGTTAAATCTTCATCTGAACATTTATGTTGAATAGAATGGTTTACATTTGCTAAATAAAAATCAGAAAACTCCATTATCTCGATGTTGAATAGTATCATTTATGTTGCACTATCCATCAATATTTTCAGATCAGAACGAAATGCAACTGCTCGAAAGAATGCTTTTTATTACCTAAATAGAAGATTGAACAATCACGAAACACGAAAATAAAAACAGTCAAAGGCTTAAATAAAAAGGCCTTGAAGTTGACCTGACTAGTTAGACCTGTAGTTACAAGTAGAAGTCAATATAAACTCAGTCCCATGAAACTCAGACCTTTTATTTTAATTGAAAATCAATATGAAAATGCGAAAGTTGAACTGCCATTCGAAAAAAGCAGATTTGGAAATTGAAAATTTAGTTTCCATTCGCATCTTACACATTTAGTTCAATGATATTTTGTTTCGTTGAGTTGTGTTCTATCGAGTCGGACTTTCGCTCAGAGCAACAGCAAAACAAGTTAACTGAACGACAGTTTCAGTTGGTCCAGTTAATAGACAGTTCAAAAAAGTAAATCAGTTTGTCACTATGACCAAAGCATTAATAGAAGCGATAATTTTTACTTGAAGCTTAATCCATTTGAACAATAATAATGCAAAATAACTGGATAATGTTTATGAAACTTTGAGTGAATCTTTTGTATCTGGGAAACGGATTGCTATTCAATTGTACAAGCTTGCATGACAATAAGGTGAAAAGTGGATAAGAAAATTTCTCAATGCAATTCATTGAATGTTAATGAATGTTTGAACCTTTCTTCTGCCATTATCATGTAACTAGACGGTTGATTTACTTTGAACATGGTAATTATTATTTCTCATGTCAGTTTTTGCTCTTCTTTATTTAAGGCTAATCTTTCTGTTTATACTTTGCCTTTTTTATGTCATTACAATGCTACTTTTGATGCTAACTTTTATCCAACACAACAATAAACAGAAGCGAATCGAAAGAGTGCAAAAAATTATAAGCTGATTGGTGATCGTGAAAACAATCAAGGCAACAAAACCGTCAATCTAAATACATGGTCCTATCAATGCTGATGATAATCTTGAATAAAACTTGTTCCTTTTCTTCTTGAGCTTCCGTTTAATTCATTGGTTCATTGAGTTGATTCACTTTTCATTGTTGATCCTGCATCATGATCCATTATCATGCTCATAATCAACCTACAAAACTCTATCATTGTTAATAAACTAAACATTAGCCAAGGTTGAACAAGAAAATGAATCCAAGTGTTAGGCAACAACAAGAGGTCAAAGTTATCCAATAACAGAAGTTAATAATTCAAATGAAAATCAAGGAATCACTTGATTTGGTAAAGGTGATGAACAAAGAATTCCGAAAATGAGCGAAAAAAGCAATGAAAAGTTTACAATTAGTTGATGGGAATGGCAAAGTTGGAGTTAAATGTTGATCAACTCTGAAAGTACATTAACTCGGACCAATTCAATTGACAATAACATTTCGAGTTTGATTTAGACCAACAATTGTTTAAACCATTTAATGATGCTCTTAACAGCATCTTTTGCTCATCAGTTATCAAAGTCCTTTTCAAGTTTATGTTCACTTGATATTATCATCAACTCTGGATAAATATCATGAAATTAAATGAGAACTTTCGTTTCTTTTACTGTAGACAGTTGAAGAAAAGAGGAAAAAAAGTTGAGAACTTGAATCGTAATGAATACAAGTTGAAAGTTGTTCAATTGTTGATGGCAGATTCATTGTTATTTTGTCGTTTCCTTTGATTGGTTCACTGAATTTTCATCAACCACTCATCAGATAGAGTTGCCAGAATCACTGTTACTCCGAGTTTTGAAAATATTAAAAGTCAATGTTTCACTTGATTTTTTTCTTCTTCTTTGCCCTGAGATGAAAATCTTTTTTTTCCCTTCTTCTTCTTCATTTCCATTCTCTAATGTAAATGTACTCTTTCATGATGATAATGAAGTTATCCTTTTCTAACCGGAAGTTTCATGGATTTCTCATTTTCTCTCTTTACAGGCAAATTTGAAAGCTGATAATGGTGCAATGATTTCAACTTTTGATAAGCAAAGTGTTGACTCGAGTAAATTGAAAGTAAAAGTTGATTCGAGGAAAGCGTCCAATATCAATGATAAAGCAAATCAAGGGAATGACGAAGTTGATTCAGGGATTGGTAAAGATAATGATGTTAATAAAGAGTCCAATGATAATCAAATGGTTGGCCAAGAAAAGGATGAGAGTAAAGGTCAGATAATTACGACTACATATAAAGAGCTAATGGCTTTGGATGATGTTGATTTGGTTAAAAATTTTGAAGACTTTGAGTGTCCAGTTTGCTTCATCAATATTCCCAGTGGTGAAGGTAAGTCTCATCTTTTTTAATCATTAACAATTTATCTCAATCTAATTATTGGTGAGGCAAAATGTTGATCAGTATTTCACATCATTCAATGATAACATCATTATGATCATTATTTTCATCTCAAATTCTTATCATTCTTTATTAATAAAACTTTATGCTTCTCATTTTTACTCTCAGTCAGTTCTTCTTCTTCTAATGATATATTTATAATAATGTTGACAATGACAATCTCACGTGACTTTTATCATCATCTTCAATGGCATGATAAGGTTAAGGTGATAGAGTGCTAAAGAAGAGGTCAATTCTGACTCTTGATCATCATCTTCATCCTTAATCAACTATAAATGTCCTTTGAGAGTTTACCTTCTCTGTCAATATCTTAATGTCATCCAGCCTTTGCTTTTCACCTTGGTTCATGCCTCACTCGCTTATTGATGTTAATCATGATAATCAAGATGAACATGGTTAAAGTCAATATTAATTGTGCTTAAGAAGATAAATAAGCTGCATTAATGTTCCTCCAATGAGATCATTTCAATATCAATTAATCGAACCACTTTTGCACAGAACCATGAGAATCAAAAAATAAGCTTAATAATTATCTTCAAAGTTCTGTCGAAATTTCGGTCACATCAATTTCAGATCGAAATTGAAATCCGATAATTGCGTCAAACAAAAATTCGCTTAGATTCGTTGAGCTTTCATTCCAAATCGAAATGAATTTTTCAATTTTCTTTTCTCTATTCTTGTCGATTCATTCTACTCATTCCGAATCGAAGTTATCTTTTTCTCGATTTTCAGTTCGAAAAAAATCTTAAACCATTTGATCAGCTTTCGACAATCAACTTATTTGACTAATATTATGAGGCGCATTTCAGCATTTCTTTCATTTTATCATTTCTCTATCATTTGCTGAGTAATAATTCGATATTCAATGAAGCATTGAAAACTGATTTCTGAAAGTTCCATCGAAATTTGCATGAGAAAAAATGATTTCATTGAAAAGCAATTTTCTCTGTTCTTTTGGACGTTACTTTGAACTTTGGTTTTTCCACTTTTTGTACTGATATTCACTCGATTGACCTTCGATTGAACTTGAAATCAATAACGATCAAAGTGATAGTTTGACAACTTCAAGTGCATTAGTTTCGATTAAATGTTACTTTAAACTATTTTTCACATTTCATGATTTTGCTTCAAAATCAACATACAATTGTCATTAATTGTGCTTGAACCATTCATTATGGAATACAATTAACAATTAAAAGTTGAGAAAAAAATGTTCCCCTTTTGCCACTTAACTTGCAATCTTGTTGACTTTTTTATGGTTAATTAAAGTGTTGGATTTAATAGACAATTTAAATTGTTGGTTATTATTAACAATGGTTTGTACCTGTCAAAAGCACAATTTCAATGTTGAAAGAGTTAATTGAAACGTAAAGTGAAGACTAATGTTTTTAAATGCATTCAGTTTGGAAGATTACATTTTAATTATGAAAAGTAAAACAAAAAGAGATTCATTTTTACATTTCAAGCTTAACCATTTGAAATCACTTTGCATATCAAGTCTAGTGATTAGCTGATGATCAACAATACACTTGAATTTACATGATTACATGATTGCAAATCCATTTACAAAGTGAATATGAATTGAAGAAGTAAATTGCAAAAGCAAATTACATGTTAAAATATGCAACATTTCAATTACCAAATAAGAAGCTGGTCCAATATGGATTTCAATTGAATCAGTTTTTAATTCAATGTATTCAAGAAGAGATCAAGAAAATTCAAAAATAATTCAAGTTCCATTCAAACACACAAACTGATCACTCATTTGCTAACTAAATAATCAACTAATTCACATATTTGTTTCAACAAATCAAACCGAAATTTCAAATTCTGATCCTTCAAAAGTTTTTAGCAAAAGTTTTCTGTTATAAACCTTAAGTTTGCATTAAGAGTTCTTGATAATGCAATATTGATATAGTTCATAAATCCACCGATTTAAACAGAATAAAATCAAATTTCGAATCTGTCAATCGAAGAATCTTCGAATCAAATGAAGAATCGAAAAAGTTTGAGTTATTGAGAAAAGAGTAAAAAAATGTGATAGAAATCGATAATCTTTTTGCTTTATGTTTCGATTGAAAACCCGAGAAAAGAAGGGAATTTCTATTTTTACGATCGTTCAAAATTCGTTTCATTTTTCAATCGAAGCTCAATTTCAGATGAAAATAATGGAAATAATGAAAAACAATTAGAAGTAAAATTTTGCACCAATGATCACAATCGTTAATTATTTTTACACAAAGTAGCGAAAAAATTGTAGCAAAATAATCAGCAAATGATAATCTCATAGGAATTGCAATGTTTATCTTTTTTTGGCAACTTTCTCATTATCATCTTCATCTTTACCCAATTAACAGGAGTTGTCCTTCGAGACTGTCTTCACATGTTTTGCAGGTAAATAATGACCTTTCGAGAGAAGCACTTCTTGCATGAATCAAATAATGGTCATTCCATATCAATCTAACGTTTCTTTTTTCTCTATTTGCTTTTTTTACCATTTAACCAGAGATTGCCTTTCCAATGCAATTGAATTTTGTGACGAAGCAATCGTCAAATGTCCTTATCGAAGTGACGAATATTACTGTGATAGTGAAATAACTGACCGTGAAATTAAAAGCCTGGCTTCACCCGAATTGTATCAAAAGTATTTATCTCGAAGCATGAAAGCGGCTGAACTTCGAATTGCCAAATCGTTCCACTGTAAAACCATTGACTGTCCGGGTTGGTGTGAATTTGATGATAATGTGAATACCTTTCCATGTCCAGTTTGTGGTAAAGTAAACTGTTTAACCTGTCAAGCCATTCATGAAGGCATCAACTGTAGACAATATCAAGATCAGTTGGACGATGAAGCTGCTGATCAAAATGAAGATGCTCAAAAGACGAAACAATTTCTCGATGTAAGTAAAAATCATCTTTCCTTCCTTCCTTATTCACAATATTCACTCACAACTGAATCCATTTTTACTCCAACTTTATATCCATCCTCATGATTTATCATAATTTTCATCTTTATCATCATCATTTTCTTCTTCTTCGTCTTCTTCTGCTTTCTCTTGTTTGCCTTGTCATTTTTATGTGTTACTTCAACCGTGTAAGATAATACTTGAAACTGTTGAAAAATATTGTTCAAAGCTGATTGTTATCCATTGTAAAAGATGAAAGAGACAAAGATGTTGATGAAAGAAATGGATGGAAAGTGGAAGCAAAAAAAGAATAATTTTTTTTAATACTTTTCCTTTTTCTCTTTATTGTTTCACGTTTTTCATCACGATATCATATTTATTCATGTGTAATTGAATAAGCTTCCATGTAAATTTTGCCACTATTTTCATCTTTTATCACTCAATCATCTTTACCTAACTCTTGTCCTCATCTTTCATCATTAAACTCTCAACTATTAAACACTAGAGATGAAGTGAAAGGGAAAATTATCACAAAAATTAAAGTAATTCACAGTTAAAGATTTCACTCAATTGTCAAATTTCCGATGAAATCCTCTTAAAACCATTTAAATATCTTTCAGCATTCATTCAAAGAAATCACTACTTTTATAAAGTCGACATAACTAATCACTTAACTCTACATTTGCATTTTTTACACTTTTCGTCTTTTATGGAGAAAAAACTTGAAGATGAAACCGAAGAAAATTTAAATCGATCGAACAAGAAAGATGTTCGATATCAATCTAAATTCTTATCGATTCAAAAGTCAAATAAAAAAAGAACGGCTGATTTGCGTGTTGATACCTTTATTTTGGCTATTTTGAGTTCGCCTATTGTGAGCTGAAGAGTTGAACTGAAGGAAATACAGGAATGTAAAAGTGAAAGTGAACTTTTGCCGTGCGATTCGAGCTTAGGGTGAAGTGTGTAAGAGATCAACCGTAAAGGATCAGTTACTAGCACTAAAAAGAGCTTCAAGTTAAGGGACAAGTTAAGGGACAAAAATAGAGGCAAAAGACGTAAGATCATCAAACGGTAGTAGTGATATAAAATCCGGGTCTTGACATTCAAATTTTTGAATTTTTTGTCCAGACCTGGACAACTTTTTTATGATTTTGCAAACATTTTTTAGGGGTAGAGGAACGTGGGGAAATTTAAAACGCGAGAAAAAGCGTGGAAAACTTTAGTTAGGCAAATGAAACCCTTTATTTTAAACTATGAATTTTTAAAAATGAATACAATTAATGAATCAATGTTATTTTATCGATGTCGATGAATATCGTTTTTTTATTTTATTTTAAAGAACTATGCCAAAAACTTCGATTTCTTCGTTAAGAGTTGCGACTTTGTAAGTTTTTAGAGGCATAAAAACTGAGTCTATTGGTGCTATTGAAAATGTATTTGAGTCGGCAGTTTTCGAAAACTTTATGTCCGTGAAAACTTACAAAGTCCTATCTCTTAACGGTGAAATCGAAGTTTTTGGACATAGTCCTTTTGGATACATTTTTTAACAAATAGAATACCTCTGCATCTTTCTTAGACTATGTCCGATGGCACTTTCGTCAATCTTTTTAGCTCTTTGAAGCATAATCAGCAAAAGGAAGATCGGCATCACTTTTTATACATAACATTTTTTTAGTACCATATTTTCTTTCTAAATCCTTTCTTTTTCTTTGCTTTCTTTATTAAATTCTTTTACCAATTCGTTTCTTTCTTTTTTGTATTGGAGGACTTCCTTGCGGCCATTGTCCGCCACCGTTTTATGGCATATGATAAAGAATATTGTTATATCGATAAGAAATCAAGTTATCACTTAAAGTTGATCGAAATTGATGGTTAATTTTGAGCAAGTTTTCTTAGCAAGGGAACAAAATCACGAAATTTACGAGCAAAAAAGTAGCGTAAAGTTGCCTTCTTTGGAGCTCACTACAAACCTTTTGATTTTAGGCTGAACACAACAGAAAGCAAATTTCTTATCCGTTCTGAATTAATCTCAATAAAACCTCATGGAAAAAGGAAAAGTTGAAATTATAATCAAATAAACTTACAAGTTGCCATTCAAACTTTCAACGTCAACGAATGAAGAGGAAAAGCTTCAACTTGCATTAAACTTATCACTTAACATTATTACCTCTTTGAGCGTAATAAAATATTTATCAAATGCCAATGGAAAAAAATATTACTTTTGTTAACTTTTTTCCTTGTGTGTTTGCCATAAATGGTGAGAAAGGTAAAAATGAGCAACAAAAAAAAAAGATTGTAATAGAAAGAGTTACATTCACTTGATTATCTTTTCGATAGTTTATCTCAGTGTTACCTGTTATTTTGAAAAAAAAGAGTTAACACTTTTGAAAGAGACTCATTGACACACTGTTTGCCATTTAACATGGGAAAACATTTACTTGGACTGTAAACTTATTGCCTGAAAATAATAATGTATAAAAAAGGTAACGAGTAAAGTAAATGAAAGAGTAAAGCAAATCCCTGAAGGCTCGAAATTTTGTCTATTTTCTTGTTCGTTTTGAGTTTTCTTTTCTTCGCTCTCTTCTGTCTAATGCCAACATTCAATTCAATTGTTTTCTTTTTTGTTTCTTCTTCTTCTTTTCTTCCTTTACTCTCATTGAACCACTTTTTAAACTTTCAGCCTTTCTTCTTGCTCTTCATTGACAACAGCCAGTCAACTTTACCTTATTAATCTTGTTGACCCTATTCTTTGGCCGTTTAACAAGGAAAAAAGGTAATAACAAAACAGGAAAACATCTTACCAATAAATAGTAAATAAGATAATCCAATCGATGTCATTCCACACTCGAATCATTTCATCAGATAAACTCGCATTTCTGTCCATTTCGAATGTCAACTTTTTGTTTTTTTGTTACGATAAGGAAAACAATTGAACGATTCAGTCATTTCAATGGGAAAATATCATTGAAACTAAATGACTAAAGCTAAGTAAATTGAATAGTTGCAAGTGTTTCATCAGTAATTTTGCATCAGTTTAATGCGATTCTCTGATTGAAACGATTTCTTTTTCACCGAGAAACGTTTCTGCAAAAACTCTTTACTTTTCAGATTTGCTTAAATTATTGCTGTCATTATGAATCTCGCTCTGAATGCTTGATATAATTACATTTTCCCCGTTATTCTGAACTCGAAAACAGATATTTCAAATGTATTGAGATATTTGCAAAACCATTATCATTATGGCTGTGATTGGTATAAAGAGAAGCTGATAAAGGTTTCATTCGTTACTAACATACGCAATTAAAGGGCAAAAAAGTGTTGCTTTTACTCCGTTTTTCAACCCTTTTGTCGTTGAAACATTTCTTGATTTCATTTCGAACGATAATCTTTACAAATGTAAGGCAAAACGAAAAAAGTTTATAAAATGAATTTCTCCTTGTTTTGTTAAAACGCAACCCAAAGTAAATGTGAAATTATGATAATCATCATTAACTCAAGAATGCATGATTTTAAAGCAATTTTGTTTTATTCATTTTTTGTTTTACTTTTCATTCCTTTTCAGAACATGTTGGATAAAGGTGAAGCATTACGATGTCCAATCTGTTTTGTGATATTAATCAAAAAGTGGGGCTGTGATTGGGTCAAATGTTCAATGTGCCAATCGGAAATTTGTTGGGTCACCAAAGGGCCAAGATGGGGACCAGGGGTGAGTCAATTTATCTTCTTATCGTTAAATCAGTCTTTACCTTTTTCCATCAGTTTAATGAGTTTTGCAAGTTTTATCCACATTTTGAGATGAAAAACAAAATGTTCAAAATTATATTCCAAATGAACTTAAGTTCTTGGATAATATTTCAATCATTAGTTCCAAATTCATATTCAAATTAACCTTTGAGGTTAAACTTTGAATGATTAAATTTCAATGTTGATATCGTCTCTTCATATTACCAATTATTCATCATTTTGAATTTTCGGAAATAATTGTTCTTCGGAGAAAAGGATTGATAATTTTTCCAAGCAACTTTAAAATTAAATTGATAACAATTGGAATCAAATTAAAGATTGTTTATTGTTTTTCCAAATTTCATTTTCATCATGAAAAAAGTTCTATTAATCTTTTTTCTTTGGGAATTATCTTTCTTTCTGTTGTTCAATTTGATATCAATTTCATTAGATTCCCAATTTTTATTATGAAGTTGGCTAAAATTGTCATTTAAAAATCAATCAAAACTGCGATTAAAAAGTTTTCTTCAAATTGTGCGTTTCAATAACATTCCATTCCTGTTATCCATCATTATCCATTGTTTTACATCTTTAACACGGAAACAAATTCATGTTATCCATTTTATTTTCGTCAAAATGTGACATTTTATAATCTTTCCTGTTCCAAGTATTTGTGAATAAAACTTTGAAACTTTTGTCTAATTTTGGACAAAATTTGAAATGATAAACCTCGATTAATCAAATCTCGATGCATTAGTACATTGAAACTGTCTAACAAAAAACGTCTCATTTATCAATAGCTTCATCTGTCAAACGAATGTTGATCAATTTCCCAAACATTATTCACGAAGTTAAATACTCTTCCTTGAATATTCATTAACATTCAACTCTTAATCGACTTGTTTTAAACTTTGCTCAGATTCCTTGTAAATACAATCAAGACTAACAAAGTTAATTAAACAAATTGTCTTTACAATTGTTTTCAATTTTCAACTCCAATAAGTCCATTCATTGAATGTCCTTTTCGGTTAACCTTTTGTTTAACATTTCAATTAAAACCTTTATTTACCTTTCAATGAAACACGTTTAATTACACTTTAACTATCATGGAATAATTAATCTTGAGAGAATCTCGAACTTCAATTTAAATATTAAATGAAAAAATTTGATTTCGAATGAAACTTTTCTGAAAACATATTCAATCCCAGGGAAAAATATCCAAATGCTGAAAAATTGTGACCAAAATTTTGATTTGCTTATCTAAATTCAAGTCAATCAGTTAAAAAAGATTGAATAACATTTTCTGATAACTTTTACTTTTAAATTGCAAGTTTTCCTCTTTTCATAGTTGAACAAAATTTGATATGGAATCTATCTGAATATGAAATTTTTCATTTCAAGAGAATGTTTAAAATGATATTTTTCCCTTTCAACAGTTTTTTCCATGGAAAATATTTTTTCTTCATTTACTTTTGAGAAAAAAAATGTTGACATTTTCCGATTTTTCTTGTTCTTCTTTCAACACTCACTGTTAATTGTTAACTGATTATCGATAATTTGATTGTCAATAGCATCAAAATTGTGTCAAGATATGTCGAAATGTTTCGAATGAGAAGGAATATTCGAAAAGATTCTTCTGAAAATCAATTTTCATCTCTTGATAAATAACCATTAACTTGTTTATTTTCAATTTTCCAATGACAACATTCTGACAACATGAACACCAAACAACCATATCATCTCATCTTACTCTTCATTGAAAAACTTTCATCATCTTGCTTCTCAAAGTGTCATTAAATATCAATAATATGAGAAGAGAGAAGCGAAGATAAATAAAGAAAAATTGTTCCGTTTTCGTTGAATCGTTCGACAGATTATTTCATTGAGAATTCCTATCATGTCCATTTCAAAATGTTCATGTACTCATCAACATTTCCTTTTACCTTTCACTTTTCCCTTCCAATACCATCAAATATTATTATTGAAATTTCATGTCAAACTTTGCAAATTCAAGATGAACTACAAATCAACATTTAAAACCCAAATTCAATCAACATTCCAATTAGTATTCGTCAATTTCAATTTAAATAGAATAGCAAATTCTGAATTCTACTTGAAAAAATGAATAAAATCTAAATTCTCAAGTTCGACTCAACAAAAAAAGCTCAACAGCCAACTTTGAAATTCATTTGATTCCAAGTAAAGACTTTGATAATTTTCACTCCAAGTTATGAGTTAAACTCCCAGTAAACCTTTAGGAACAACTCGTTCCATTGTTCAGTAATTGAATATTTTACAAACATAAACATTTTTCCAATTCTGTTTGCTATTTTTGGTGGAAAACATTTTCAAACTTTTCATTACTTTTCTTTTAATCAGCAAATTCATTACTCTTTTTCCTGTTTTTTTTTCATGTAAAACCAACAAAAGATCATTTTTTTGCTCCAATTGAAGAGTAAATCTTTTCAACATTTGAAAGTTGATACTTTTTTTCCTCACTTTTCTCTCCATTTCTTTTCCATTTTCATTTAGCATTTTTTATTCTTTCCATTCAGAACTTCGTAGAGAAGAGGAAAAAAAAGTAACTCATTGAAACTCGAAACCAAACTATTGTATCAGTAGATACAATGAATCTCAATCAGTTGTTCAACTACTTCTTTGTTTAGCCATTTAGTTTCACCATTCAACTTTCATTCAATGCAAATCTCGATTGTTAATTGTCAAATGATTCAGTTAAACAATTTTCTGTTGAAACTTTCCATCAACACAAAGACTTGGCAAGAGAAGGCGAAAGTGAAATTCAATTTAATGGTTTACAAGTTTTAATGGACAATTGACTGACTGTTCAAGTTGATGACAAAAAGATGTCCATTTTTCATTCACAACTCGGAATATCATCAAAATTAAAGAGGAAATGAAACAATTTTTCAATGTCGATCCAATGTTAAACCTTTTTTTTGCTTTACTCTAATATTCAATTTGCTTTACTTGATTAATGAACCTTTGATTTGTTTAAATTAAATTGCTTTGCAAACAATTTATTGCCAATCATTTCTCTCTGTCAGATTATTCAGTTTAACTTTTCATGTGAGAATGCAAAAAGCATCATTTCCTTCATTAAATCATTCACGTTATTTACCACCTTTTAACACAATTTAGCCAACTATTTAATGTTTTTTGGACACTTTTTGTTTTCATTATTATGCTTCATTTAAAATTGTTTTTTCGCCTTTCCTTTAAACTTTACTTTTGCTCAATCAATTTACAGTGATTTATTGTTTACCATCAAATTTATGGTTAAATTTTCTGTTACCTTGTTATTTATGTGTATTACTTGTACAGTTAACAGTTTATACAATTATGCTTAATTTAATGTGATCAACATTTAACAATAAATAACATGCTAATTGAACTGCAACTTTTCTGGTCTCAGGCTTTTCCGTTTTTTGCTTCATTTGCAGTTTCATTTTTTCGCAGCTCAATAACTTATCGGGTTAATTGGTTATTTAGTTTATCATTTAGTCGTAAATTGGCCTTTCAATTGGATATTATTAAATTGTCCATTTCATAGAAGAAACTTGATTACGATTTTGGGCCAAATAAACGCTGATTTGTGATAATTTGGTTGGGAAGTTTCCAATAAATCTCACCTCAATTCACACCTAAATGTTGGGTAAAGTCGAAGATATTATTGTCATGATTCCAGTTTATTTGATTCTAATAAACATTTAAATATAGATCTGTTTTCAAGAGACAATAAATATTGGTTGAAAACAGTAAAACCAATAGTAGATGTTATTGGCTTGTTACACATTAATGGCGGATATAAATACAGTCACTTCATTTTATCATAATCAATGATTACTTAAAAAGTGATCAAATGACCGTTTATAGACTCGCAGTAGTCTGGTGACAATGTGTTTACATTGAACATTAGAACCGATTCATTTTGCGTTATTAGTTAGAAACTTAATCTCAGTTTGGTTTCACTTTTGAGGTTCTTACTCAGGACTAACCATTTTGCCCCTTAAGCTCATTGCTAAGGCAGAAGCTAAACCTTTTGATTTTATGGTCACTTAAACCCAAGTATAAAACTCACTCCATGCCTTAAAGGCAATCTTCAATTTTTGTCATCTTTCGTTCCACTTATTTCAAACTGAACATTCTTTTGAATTCCTGAAATTTTCTCGTATGTTGAGGCGTCATGAGATTTCCTTTAAATTCAATTCTAACCATGACTCTGAAGAAGCGAATTTTAAATCTAAAAGCTTTTTCTTTTAACGATTAGAGAACTACCCAATTCAATAAATCCTGTTCGAGCATAAAACTTGCTCATTTTTTCCACCATCTTTAACTCCATGTGAGATTGTTCATGGTACTGAACGTGCATTCCTTTAGATTTGAGAGATATAATAATCAATGCTTGAATTAGATGAATAATCATGAGAATCCCCTTGAAATAGTAATTTATTGACTCTCTTTGATCCAAATAATTTCGTCTCTTAGGTTACTAAAAATGTTGCTTTTATTGCTAGGAATTTTGAGGTTCGTAAAATTTTCGTTGATTTGTTTCTTTTGTTGAGCTTTCATTTTCCTTTGCCAGTTTTGTTAGCCAACTTAAAGTGATAAACTTAAAGACTCGAGTTAAGCCTGATCAATGTCAATCATTTTAGTTGGTCAAATGATTTTTTGTTGGATTAAAACATTTGTCATTTTTGATCAACTGAAGCAATCAGAATCACTTTGGACTTTGAGACAAATGCACCATGAAAAAGGAAGAAGAAGATGAAAAAAGATTTCATTTGAGAACAAAAATGGCCCAAAAAATATGAAAAAAGCAAATAATAATGTTGATAATAAAAATAATGATTTGTTTTTACCATCATTTACTCAAAGGATACATGGTGTAACATGTGAATCATTTCTGAATCATGAACATTTTTCATCATCTTTATAATTGAAAGTGAAATATAAACCCGAATCTGGTTTTCATGATATTTGATTGGAATCACATTTTTGTCACTTTCAATCTAATCGTTAATCTATTATCATTTCAGAGTTTGATCGTGAAGCGCAATAATACACTTGAAGATGAGAAGAGCAAAAAAAATGTTCATTCATGATGATAATCGATTACAATGAGCATGGAAAAGGAAAAGTCGAAAAATGTTTTTTCTCTTCTTCTTCTTCTTCTGTTGGTTGAAAATGTTCAAATGAACCGCTTAATACATAATATTTTAAGCTCATTAATATTTATCATTGGGATTTGAAGATCCAGAGATAATATTTTACTTTTCATTAAATCAAATTCTGATCTGGTTTTTGGTTTCTCCGGTTAATTCCCATTTGCCAATAGTTTCCAATGGTTTCTCAAGTGATTAAGATTAAATACAGATGACTGTGGTTTAAAGCTCTTATATTTTGAGCTTTTCTTGCGCTTCATTTGGTTGACATTAAATTGACAATCGTATTTGCTTGTCCAATAATCAAGCTTAATGTCAACAAACATATCAAACATCAGTAATGTTAAGAGCCTTTAACCTGTAACATTGAATCAAATGTCCCATGAATGGTGTTAACAGGGAATTCAATCAGCTTAACTTGATCATGTAACATTCTTACGAGTAATTCACCACTTCTTTCCTTCTTCAAACCATCTGAATGGCTTCAAAATTGTAACAAACTGTCTCAGTGTTTAAGCTGTGAACGTTTCATCTTTAGTTTAGATTCATGGCAATCAAATGAAATTATTGAATTAATGACAAAACTGGTTTAACTTCAGGAAAACAGTGAATCGACTAAATCCTAACATCCAAAGGTTTTCGGCCTAAACTCACAATTGACTAACTTCAGTATTATTAGGTGACCAGAAACGTCGCACAATTAAAAGATGAATGTTGGAGATCAACTGATTCAGGCTATTTGCACCATTATCGTTGGTGAGACAGAATTTGAACATTTAGAAATTTCGATAACTTCGAGAATAAAATTTTCTATTCTCTTTGACTTTAAGTGTTTGAGTTTTAATGCACTTAATGGTTGTAAGCTTAGCATGAAACCTAAAGTTTTAGCAAATGTCAACAACTCCAAGTAAATAGTGGAAGGAATTGAAATCTTAAAGGTCCAATCAGTGTTCGCTAATTGAGACAATATGATTAAATTCAGTCAACTGATAACTGCTGCAATTCACATGAGTTTAGTTTTATTGTTAACCATAAACATCAATCAACCTTCATCATTTTCATTTCACCCTCCAATTAGCCTTTTTGATTCCCTTTTTTTCATTAGTATGAAAGTCACATAATTTAATCACTAACCAACCACTCATTGTGAACACTTGCATTCCATGCATTATCTGACCATCAAACTTAGCATTCATTTTATTGTTTAATTAAAATATTTGATCACCTTGCTTGATTTAAAGCCAAAAATCAATCAAACGAGCAACAAAAAACTCCAAACTCTGACAAAACCAAGAAAAAATGTGAAAAAAATATCAAAACTTGCAAAACTCAAAAATGATTTATCAATGAAATCCTTTTGATCCAAACTAACCAAACGCTTTTCATTACTTAACCAGGGTAAAGGTGACGTTTCAGGAGGATGTAAGTGCATGTTGAATGGACAAAAGTGCCATCCTAAATGCAATTATTGCCATTGAAATGTCACTCAATGAGCACCAAATGATCAAAGGAAAAACGTAAGTACAAAGTTTATCAATTGATCTTCAATTTTGAGCAACTCTCATTAAAGGCTACACAGACTAAACATTTGAAAACCCTTTCCTTTATGATCCAACTCTATTGATATGGTTAAGGTTAAACTATCGTTATTAACCTGTTCATGTTTGGAAACAAATTCATGGGAAAAAATGGATCCAATTTTCAGGTTTTCAAATTTTGCCAGCTTTTCAATCAGATAAGCGATGAAATGAAAATATTGAAAATTGAATTTAACATCATCAATAAGGATAAAGAAATGATTATTAAAATGATTCAACCTTCCTTCATCTCAACCTTTTCACTTTTCCAAACAATATTTGCTCATCTCATTCCTTCCCTTCCCTCTATTTATCAATCATCCATCAAACTGAAGACAGGATGGTTATGATAATCTATCATGATACTTCATAATACAGATCAATCTCTTCTTTACTTTTCACTTTCATGTGAAAATAGACCTTTAAACAGTTATATTGAGTTCACTTCATGATTGTGGTTAAGTATTGGATAAAGTTTTACCTTTTTTTCAACTGGGAATCATTTCCATGTTTGACAATTGCAAAGTGTAAATAGTTGATAAACCCAAACATGAATAAATCAACGAATCAAATTAATTCCCTTTCAATGACTTCACAGGCTGATTGTAAAACCATTAGATTGATAGTGTAAAGTCAATAGAAAGGTCTACAGATGAATATTGTTAAACCTAGAAACTAATGAACCACTTTAAAGCAACTATTAAATTGAAAAGGAAAAGGTTGAAAGGTGAGAATTGATCAGAAGATTTATCTTGATAATTCAATAAATCTCTACCATTTCAATTATCTGCCAATAATCAGCCTCTAATGACAATTTGGAAGATAGAGAAAAAATTGTTTCCAATTTTCATTCTCTTCACTCAAAGAATCAAAATTAATATCAGCATTTCAAAATTGTTCATTTCTTGATATTTCCTTCTTATATCGATTCCCTGATAAAGCATATTGCTGTTACTAGTTACTGTATATTATATTCAAGCCAATTCATGTATACTTTTATAGTTGAAATAATCGTTCAGAAATTGTATTTTTTATTCTTACACTCAGATTGATCTGTGAATATCATTTTTTTTCTTCTCCTTTTTTTTCTTGTTCGCTGGCAAAATCGTTATAAATAAATCCATCGATATGTATTGAATTGGAAATGGAAGGGAAAGGAAAAAAAGAAACGTTATTGTTATCAATTCTAGTTTATATTATCTGTTATTGAATAAATTTCAAGCTAAAAAAAGGAGAAAAATATTTTACACTTTCTTCACCTTCTTCTTGAAGCGATTGGAATAGATTGCAATTGATAGCCTTTAGTGTAATGATTTTGTCATCTTTCATTTGCTTTTATCATTTGCGAGGTCTTATTGTTGGTTAGCTTTTATTATGCTGATGATAAGTTGATAGGCAAAGGATTCTGGGAATGATAACTTTTCAAATGCATAACATTATTGTTCAATGTTTCATTGAACATTTTCACGAGTAAAAATGCTTTTTCCCTCTTCTTCTATTCAATCATTGCTGATTGAAACGTTATGAACCTCAATGATGAAACTTGATATCGATGATGATAACGATCATCTCGCTAATGATTATCATTATCATGCTGATCATTTGCACACATACACACACAAAATAGTCTTTTGCTGTTTAAATTTATCTCTTTTCCTCTGTTGCCACTTTCCTTCCACATCATTTACATTAAACTTGTTCAACATATTGAAAATGAAAAGTTGAAAACTTTTCTTCAACCTAAAAGCTTGGATAAACACTGTTTTCTTGACATCAAATTATAAGGGTTCAGTAATAATGTAATAATTTATTAGCATCAAATCAATTTTAGTCAATTTATAATCAATATTGCCACAAGTTTAGACAATTTTGTCTCAATGTTTCACCAACAAAATATAATCATCTGCAGCAAAATGGGAATCAATAAGGCGAACAAAGTCAAGATTATATTAGAGGTAAAAAAGGAAACGTTACTGTATATTAAACAAGGATTTTAAACGTTTTATTAAAATTACTGTCAACCCATTTAATAAACACATCAGCCTCTCAATTAAAGTCTCAATTTTCATTGTTGCCATTTCTCAAATGAGAATCTCGTAAATACAGATTAAAGATTAGATTATAAGAATTAGGCTTTTCTTGAGGTTTTCTCAGTTTCAAATTCTCAAGTTGAAGATTGGCTGAAAGATTTGATTAGCAACAAATATTGGTTTTTTCATGGATGCTTCTGAGTTGAGAACAGAAATTAAAGCTTGACTCGTTTAATGTTTGAATGTAAATCACATCATCAGAAGCCATGAGATTTCCTCAGTTATTCAGAGTCATCACAAGTCATCATTCATCGGTTCAACTCTTTTCATTTTCAATTTTTTAGAGGTTCGATGGAAAAGGCATTTTCATTGTAAAAAGTGAAGATGCGAAATTTGATTTGTTTTCTTGCTATTCTGCATATCATGGTTGAAGATATTGAAACAAAGGTTGAAATTGAAGGCAGAAAGTATCAAATCAATGTCAATGACGGTTGGCATTTATTTTGAACAAATCAAAAACTCTTTTCTTTTCCTTTTCTTGATCATTCTCAATTTGTTTTTTCCCTTCATCAGCTTCAATGGGCTAAGCTGGTGTAATCTTGGTTGCTGTTGGTGGTGGGTATTGATAGTGAAGGTGGTAATGTGATCAGCAAAAGTCTATTATCAATTCAAGTGTTGAAAGAAAGGGAAAGAAAGAAATGTTACAATGAAAACGAATAAAGAAAAGGACTTGATAAGATATAAATTTCAATTCTTACAGTTTACTTGATTTTTCATCATCATCTTCTTCTTCCTGATCATCATTCAGACTAATTCTGTCAAGTAAAACTAACAATTTCATCTTGCTTCTCTTCTTACCTCTTTTCAATCTTCAAAACCTTTCTTCAAACCTTCTTCTAATCTTACATCCAATAACTCCAGTAAAATGTAGGAATAAGTTTATCTTACCGATTCTTGGTGAGAAACAAAAAGGTTGGAAATTTTGGTGAAGCTTAGAGATTGTCTTCCAGATGATGATAATGATGATGAGCCTTTTCAAGCAGTTTCTTTGAAAGTGAAAAGGTGAAATTTTCAGGGAAACTTGAAGCAGAAAGAAATCTTTTTATATGAATTATTTGAATGGATAAAAAGTGTTTCTTTTTTGCTTTACATTTTGCATCAATAACTTGATCATCCGAACATGTATTAACCCTTTTCTGTTTTTTAATCATGACACAGTCAATATTGAACCATCTTAACTGTAACATTGTGCAGCATTGAATCTGCTTTTCACACAAAATCAAATTAACGTTTATTCAGATGGGACTTGTTCAATCCATTGACACTCTCATATTAATATTACCACAAGTTTAACCAATTTGAATTTGCAAGTCTCAATGGTGATGATGAGAAGGAAATGTTTCATTGATTTATCATCTAAAAGAATCTCCATTTGCTTCATCCTTAATCTCGATATTCATATATTAATATCATTAATATTCATTGCAGTTCATGGTTAAGTTGAAGGGTAAATCATTTAATGGTAAACATAATGTTATTCAAATGGTCATTTTCAACCATTCAATTAGTCTTATGAATTTAATCAGTGATGAGATGAAATTGATTTTAACCTTACATTTGCTTTATCATGGATTGATCAACAGATTTGTATAAATGTGTGTATTGACTAGTAAATCTTAATCTAAAGGGTTCAATCATTGACAGATCATTTTAGGTTAATCAGTATTAATAATCAAAATTCATGATCTGCTGGGATAATCATGATAAACATCACTGTTAGTATCAGAGTACATTGAATGGTTAGTAGTTGAAGTAAATTGTTTCCCTTTCATTATCATTTGATGTTAACCAGGAAAGGTTCAATTTTTGGGTTTCTGGTTAAAACCAATTTTAACGTTAAAATTGCTCTCAAGTTTACTGGTTTTGTTTTGGTTTTCAATTATTTTACGTTTTTTGCTTGTTACGCTTAATTAGATTATCATATTTACTCTGATTAATGTTAATCATTATGGTTTAATTGTTGATCAACATCATCTTATTAAAGGTTGATTGTTAACCTAAACACGTCTATTAATAAGATTAATAGATGAAAATAATTAGTCTTAACCATCTCTTATGCATAGTTGTTGGGTTATAAGTAAAAATGGTTTCACCAAAAAACACCTTAACTGTTTACTGTATACTTACTTTGTCTTTTGTTTAATCATAATTAGCCTATTTTAAAACACAAACTAATCCAATTTAATCGTTTAAATTAATGAACATTATTTTAATCTAATTAAGGTTGAACAATAAAATCACTTTCGTATGTAAATTGTATGTAAAACAATGTATCTTGTTTTGATCCATTGTAAAAGATATTACCAGCATATCAAGTATCAAAAGGATATCAGATCTATTATGGGTTTAAGATAACAATTTAACCAGTTTTCAGTTTTCACTTTTTTAACCCGATTTTAAATGGTAATCATCTTATTGTTCAATAATTGTCAGACTAATAATTTTCACCGTAAATTCATTCGTAGATAAGTTTCGCCTTAAAATGACGTTAACCCAAAATTACCTTTAACCGTTTAACCTTTAAATGCTCGTCAAAATCACTTTGAATATTGACTAATAAACAATTTTATGCTTTCTTCTTCTCGCCATTTAGATTGTCTCATTAAATCTCATCATAATTACCATCAACCGTCTTCCTTGTCTTCATCATCGCCATCATCATGTTCATTTTTCCAGTTTTGTTGGTTATTCAGTTCACTCAAGATCTACTTGAGACTGTCTAAATGAAGATGATCTTTATGACTGACTTTCTTTCACTCTCTGCCTCTTTTTGGTAAACCATGATGCAAGGATTGAATTCAGAAGTGGAGGAGACAGAATAAAGTAAAACCATCAATTCCAAGACAGAAATTCACTTCCAGCCTTGAATATTATCTGATATTGTTTGATAAAAAAATTGAACCGTTTAAAGTGCTATGGCTCCATCTATCGTAACCATGGGTGACTATTTGTAGACAATTTGCTGCTGTTATTTTCAAATTGCAATGTTGCTAACAAACTTATCAACCAGTTTAATCATCTGAAATTGCTCAGTACCATTCATCATTATATTGACATCATATTTGTTCATCACTCATTTGTTTCGATTTAACTTTGGCTACAAGAAAAGAAAAATAATTAGCTATTAAGTTTCAGACTTGTTCGATTATACGATAAAAAGATTTAAAAATCATGTTTTGGTCAATTGAAAGCTGTTATCCAAAACAGAGAAATTAATTGTTAGCAAATTTTTTTAAAAAAATCAAAAGATTTAATTATATACATATTTAAATACTTATTAAATTATTGTAATGCCAATAATTAAACAATCAGATTAATTAGATATTAATAACAGTTTTATCCAAGCAAAAACAAGTTCCTTCTCATAATTGATGCTAATAAAGATGTTTTTTTGTATCTAATGTTATCAAGTTATATTTCAAGAAATGTCTCATCTTTAATTGTTAATATTAACAAATTTGACTTGATTTGATCATCTCGATTATTGTTATGATTAAATATAATTGTCATTCATCATAATATTGTATTCTTAAACATTACGTTGTATTGTCATTCAACATTATTCACTGTTTACGTTGTTAATTTTGAAAGAAACAGATCAATGCTATTTCATTGGAAAGTAATATTTGGATAAAATCAAGTTAAATCAAATTATAATAAACTCGTTAATAAAAATTAATAAATAATGTATGCATTATCAAGCTGCAAATATTGATACATGATAGATCAATATGATAAATGATTTTTCAATTGTAATGCAAAGACAAAAATTAAATAAAATATTTGTTCATAATTTTTGATAATATTTTCATTTACATTTTAAAACAATCTTAACAAAATCACGAAAATTTTAATGAGCTGGGCTTATTAAATTCAGTAAATCAAATGATCATTGAAACATAATCAACTCTGATAACTAGTAAGATACATGAACAATATTAACCCGTATTTCAGCTGCTATGAAAACATCCTAAGATACAATGAAGCTGTTCCAGCTTGACATCTTTTGGTAAACTTATGACAAATATTGTGTAGCGAAATGTATTTAGACACAAATCAACATTAAAGTCCCTTTGTTACTCAAGCAGGGGACTCTTGTGGCCATGTGATTCAAGCAGTCAAATACAGAGTCGAGATTTGTGAAAGGCATGAATTTCAAACTAAATTTCAAAGAAATTTCAAACCTTTGGATTGATTAATGTACTTTATTTTTTGTAATCAAAAATAATGAATACAGAAGTTCTCAAAATATGGTTGTGCTAAAATAAGAGGTGTGTGAATGAGTAAGAACATCTTTTTAAAGTAATGATCAAAAATAGTCAGTGTGTTAAAGTAAAATTTCTGACGAAAGATAAAAGTCAAGGATTTATTCATTAAGTCGACATATTTCATGGGTCAGGATTCGCATTTCCATTCTTCTTTTCTTCTTCAACTTTAGCCAAATAGGCTGCTCTTTTTGCTTCTTTAATCCGTTCTTTCTTCTCCTTCTTCTTCTGGTCTATTTCTTTTTGTTTCTCTTTCTTTTCTGCCTTTGCTTTCTCAATGGCTTCTTTCTCAACCAGTTCTTGTTGACGTTGCTGTTCCATCTGAGCTCGTTTTTCTTGAACTTCTTTTTCATGTTTCGATTTTTCAATTTTTGCTAAATTTTGTTCCAGCTGTTTTGCATAAAATGCCTTCTTCTCCGATTTAGTCATATTTTGAACAAATATTCTGTTCATAGCAAAAGATTGATCTGGTTTTTTTTCTAACGCAGGATTGAACTCAGGGGCTAAAAAGTTATGCCGTTCACCACTGTCCCAATCATCTATTTCTTCTTGAGTTATGTTTGTTGAAGATGTAGGTGCTGGCGGATCACTGATTGCAGCAGCTTCCAAAGCATCGGCTAAAGCACCAACTTCGTTAGATTGTGTATCAGCTTTTTTTGGTGGTTGGTAAGTATCCCAGTCGTCAATTTCATAAAGGGGCTTATCAGCACACTCTTCGGCATAATGGTGAGCAAGAAGTGCCGGCTCAATTCTGTGAAAAGCATTGTACCTGCAAATGGATAAAACCTTTTTAGATTGCCTGGCACACTTGTCTATGTGAGAAGAGTAACGTCGTGGAGCCAATCTATGGTTGCTGTCGTATGGACAGGTCACATATAGTGGTAGTGGTACGTTCCGTCCCGCCATTAAACTGTAGTTGAAATCCTTATACAAGAACGATTAGAAAGAAAACAAATAAAATGATTTTCCTGTATAAAAGTCAAACGAGAATGTAACATAATAAACAGAACGAAAACATAGACTTACCTTATTTAGAGAAATAAATTAGTAAAGAGAAGGTCTTGAATGATGATTTAAGATGCTGAAAATTTAGAAACTATGGCTTTTAAGTAAAATTGATGATGAGATTAATAAACATTTTAATCAAATTTGTCATAAAAAATTAAGATTCTATGGTCAATTTGAGTAAAACACTCTTATTTATATTCAACTGTGCGAAAATTTAAGTCATACTTCAGATAGCGACATCTGTTAATACAAATAAACAAGCTTCAAAAAGCAGCAGCAAAAGATGTTTAGCTACAGAAAGATTACAGATACAATGTATCTGTGAATAAATAATTAACTTGAGTCTTGAGAGTATAACTCTTTGCTATTACTCTTTGCTATTACTCTTTGCTTGAGTCAAAGTTTAAAATCTCAAGTTGAATCGTTTGATTTTTGCGGCTCTTCAATATACAATAATATATATCTCAACAGCTATTTGTTGTTCAAAAATTGTTGCTGTTTATTGTTACTATTTACCCTTAAATTAAATTTTTTCTTGTTCTAGCTTATTTTCTATTGATCAGTTAAACAGCTAGCTGTTCTGCATTTCATCGGACTTCTCGTTCCTGTTGTACATTTGCTCAGTGCTTAAACATTTCTTTTTATTGGAATTTTTCAAGTGCCCTTTTGGTTACTTAAGTTATCAAGGAAAATATGGCCACTTGGTACTTTGATGGAGATACTTTACAACAATGCCCATACAACCCTCACCATCGCGTCTTATCAAGGCGCTTACTTTCTCATATGTCTAAATGTGCTGAGGATCCAAATACACCTAAACTTGTGGAGTGTCCCTTCAACTCTCTCCATCGTGTTTATCCTGATGAACTTGTAACTCATGTAACTGAATGCCGTGACAATCGTCAAGCCATCCGAGAGATGTTCAATCCAGTTGATAAATTTCCTTCAAAAATTACACCTCAACCTCGACCTGAAAATCCAGAAGATGTATGGGAGTTTGATACTAAAGTTAAAGAATACGTACTACCAGGATTAGAAAATAAAAATAATGGTAATGATGATAATGTTAATGAGCCTGATAACGATGGTTTCATTTCTCAGCAAAAATTATACAACTTGAAGCCAGCTGAGAGGAAACGTATGTATAACCAGCTTACTGAAAATGCTATCAAAAGGCAAGCTCAACTTGAAAGACAGGAACTGTCTGCTGAGGAGGCTCAAGAGTTAGGCTTCGATGTTAATCCTAAAGGAGAACCATCTACTTCAGGAGAACCATCTACTTCAGGAGAACCATCTACTTCAGGAGAAGAAAGAAATAATACCGACGAAGATTCTACTGTGCCTAAAAGACCTCGAATATCAGATGAACTCTGTACTGATCCTAGGAAAATGAGTCAAAAAATAAAGAGATCCCCAGATGATGACGAAGAGGACAATAAAGAACATGTTAAAAAACTGATTCGTGCATCAGAACCTGGATGTTTCAGATCAAGACCTGTTGAAAATAGAAAGCATATGTAAAAATCAATCCTCATCAAAAGTACTATAGTATAATTAAGATAAGATATATCATTCTATAAATTCATCAATATTGTAAAATTAAAAATTTTGTAAAGCATGAAGCCTAAATGAATGTAAGCATAATCGACTAACAGACGAAGACAGCAATTTAAAGCTGTGTGAGATTTTTAGTCATGCAAAGCCATATTACATTCAAATTTTCATGATGTTCATTCATTTATTATTTCATGTAAAGATCAATAAATTTCTCTGATTGAGCCAGTGTAAATATAGAAGTGATAAAATTGGAGAAGCGATTAGACCAAGATCTAAGATACTTGAGAGATGCAGAACCTCAATATTCTACTTTTCCTTTTGATATGGAACCAGAATTGAGAAAAGAAAGTGCTCCGGTGCCAGTGAATCCAGTCAAAGTTAAAATGCTTCCTCTACCTTGGTTTATAGATTGGTTCAAAATTCGATATCAACATCAAACTTATGGAATCGAGAAAATGCGTTGTGTTTGGGAATATTATTACATGCTATAAGAATCAAGTATATCAGAAAGGCTAATGTCCTGCTAAACCGATGAGCAACAAACCTTTTCACTAACAAGAGGCATACTCTTTGAAGTTTTATCTTAGGTTTCTAAGTCGCGTTGAATTGTTTATCTAATTTAATTAATTAATACTAGGATAAAAGTTAGTGAGGTATGTCTATTTATCTATTTGTCTTACTTGTCTAATAATTTAACCTGTGTATCTAATGATTCAAAGAGGCTTTAAAATCTTGTAGCTACTTCTAACCCGCTATTTTAGTTTAATTGATATTACGTTAATTATTGTATTTATCTTTCCTAATAAACGCTTACCATTTGTCATTTTAATCAAAGACTAATCCAAAGAGTAACTCTTTGGACTAATCTAATTTATTCTCACAGCGCCATCTGTATCTTTCCTGTTGAACTCTCTTGCTGATTCTCACAAATTGTTATTTTGAAACATTCCCACTTTCAGTTGAGAAAAGCATGCTTTCTTGTTTGTTTCCAGTTCCATTTTGATTTTTGTGCGACTTGGTTATTTTTTGAAGTGTCTTTTAATTTGTTTATAACTTTAAAAATTTAACTTAATTTAATTTAAAATGACATTCGGAGAACGCGGCGGTGGTCGTGGAGGCTTTGGAGGAGGCCGAGGTGGGGGCCGAGGTTTTGGCGGTGACCGAGGTGGAGACCGAGGTGGTCGTGGAGGCTTTGGTGGTGGCCGAGGTGGGGGTCGAGGTTTTGGTAAACGTGGTTTTGGTGACCGAGATGGTGACCGTGGAGGCGGCCGCGGTGGAGGTCGTGGAGGAGGCCGAGGCTTTGGAGATCGAAGCTTCGGAGACCGAGGTGGAGGCCGAGGTCGTGGTGGCGGATTTAAAAGTCCACGTGGTGGTGGACGAGGTGGCGGCGGCCGTGGTGGCGGCGGCGGTGGAGGATTCAAAGGAGGCAAAAAAGTTTTTATTGAACCTCATGCACGTATTGCTGGAGTATTTGTTGCTCGAGGTAAAGAAGATGCCTTGGTTACAAAAAACTTAGTTCCAGGAAACGCGGTTTATGGTGAAAAAAGAATTTCAGCTGAAGAGGCTGGCGGTAAAGTTGAATACAGAATTTGGAATCCATTCAGATCAAAATTGGGAGCTGCCATTTTAGGTGGTGTTGCAGATATTTTCATGCCTCCAGGTTCAAAAGTTTTATACCTCGGAGCTGCTTCCGGAACCACTGTCTCACATGTGTCAGATATTCTCGGTCCAGAAGGTAAATGTTATGCTGTTGAATTTTCACATAGATCAGGTCGTGATTTGTTAACTGTTGCCCAAAAAAGAGGAAATATTGTGCCCATAATTGAGGATGCTCGCCACCCCCAAAAATATCGTATGGTCATGTCAATGTGTGACTGTATATTTTCTGACGTTGCCCAACCAGATCAGGCCAGAATCGTGGCTTTAAATGCCCATAACTACCTCAAACCTGGAGGATATGTTGTTATATCAATTAAGGCAAATTGTATTGATTCGACCGCGCCAGCAGAAGCTGTTTTTGCTGACACTGTGAAACAATTACAAGCTGAAAATATCAAACCTGTGGAACAGGTAACTTTAGAGCCGTATGAAAAAGACCATGCTGTTGTAGTTGGCATATATAGACCGCAGAATTGATTTTTTGTACTCATCCTCTACTTTTTCTTGACCGCATTTCAACAAATAAAAATCATTTACCATAAATTTGTATCATCATACTTGTAAAAAACATGGCATCATGCAAATTCTTGAAATGAAAAAATGCCAATGAAAAAGAAGAGCAAGAAAGAGGAGAGAAAAAGACTAGAAAAGAAGAAGAAAGAAATGGATCCTGAAACATGCAATATTTTGACTTGATGAATACGTGCTTCATACTGGCTATTTTTGATGATTAATTTGAAAAAAAATTCCTATTCATTCACTCATATTTTATTTTGAGAACTTGTGTATTTATTATTTTTGACTACAAAAAAATAAAGTACATTAATTAATCCAAAGGCTTGAAATTTCTTTCTGTTTAACTTTTTCAATTGTTTCTTCAACATCCGATAATACGTTTTGCAATACATCCTCTGGACTTCCATTGGCAGCAACAATCTGAAAAATTTATGATACCATTAAAAATCAGCTTATTAAATAGAAGTACTATCTAATAAATAATAGTAGAATTGTTTAGGAAAAAGTATCTAACCAATACAATTGTAAATCAAAATAATACTTACTTTCCAATCATCCTCTTTCAAATGATCATACATGGACGCAACTTTGTTTTGAAATTCTTGCTTTTCATAAATCTCGTCACCGAAACCTGGACGTGAGACTAACACTTCTGGATCAGCGGTTAAATAAACGGTCAAATCTGGTTTAATTAAACCTCTGTCTGGAGCTTTACACCAATCAAGTGATAAAGTCTAGAAACCAAAGTTAAGAAAATGTGATTAACAGACAGTAGGGCATATCTGATGATAATGTTCAGATTCTTTCTAAATTCTGCTCATTGCAGCAATAGTATACTTATGTTTGATATATAATAGCAATTACCATTTTAGCTGCTGAGTATGCAACACCAGAATAAGCATATCTATCAACAATCAAAGTAATTCCGGAAAGTATTTTTTGTTTCATTATTCCATTCATTTCCCATCGATTTGCAGAGAAAAGTAAATGTATTACTTCGTCACATTGTTTGCTTGTACCAGATAAATAATCATCAATACATTTACCAATTTTTGTCCCACGAAATGGAAATCGCATCAATTCAATGTTTTTGTTATTAGAGGCTAATGTAGAACGTAATCGTTCACAAAGAGTTGACTTACCGACCCGATCAATACCCTCTATAACAATTAAAGCGCCACGTCCAGTAGAAGACATTTCAAGAATTACACTGTTAATTACACTAATATCAATAAAAGAAACCAATAAATTAAAGATAAAAAATAAACATTAATAAATTGCGCCAGAATTCTTGAAAGCAAAAAGCAAACAAATTTCGATATATCGAGCCTATTCAGCCATCGATTCAATGGTTTCAATTCAAGCATTTTACAAATAAACACTTATGCTAATTAATTTATCTAACCAACTGGATTTTTTGAATAAATCATCTAATTCAATCTTACATACCTTAAATCTGTTATCAGAACTTATCATTTAGGAAATGCGATATTAAAAATTACCAATGAAAATAACCTACAGATGACGCTCAGATCTTCACCAGTTTCTTCATTTTAAACAGCTGTTTATTAATCAGTCTATTTAATAGTTTAATCACTTAACAATTCTAATCGATCTATTTATTGTCATTCACTCTAAATCGTAGTTCTACCTTTCTGCTTTGCTCATTCATCATTTTGTTCAATTTGAGTCTACATTGCATGATATCCAACATGGTAAACATTCAACAACTATAACTATCTCCACCGGCCGTTTGTACTGATTATACTGCTACAATCGATAATTGACTTTTGAATAGTGGTAAATCAATAAATTTTTTATTCAAATTTTATCAGATTCGAATGCCAATACATACTAATTCAAATCTACTTGTTTTTAGTTGAACTTAGCGTCTATTCTTCTAATTTAAGATGGCTGCTTTCGAAGGTAAGTGGTCTTTCCTTCTAATAAATAATTACAGTTTCGTGAACAAACTCGGAGTAATAAGTAATTAGTAATACTAATCAATCATTAATTTTTACTTGATAGAAATGGGTATATTGCCAGAAATTGGTAAAGCTGTCGAAGAAATGGAGTGGAGGTAAATTATCTGCACCTTTGATTGATATCTAAAAATGTATTATTATATTTAATGAAAAATGATTTATTTTGAATCTATCCAATATTATAGTTTACCCACGGATATTCAAGCTGAAGCAATTCCGTTGATTCTGGGTGGCGGAGATGTTCTCATGGCAGCTGAAACAGGCTCTGGTAAAACTGGTGCTTTTTGTTTGCCTGTTTTGCAGATTGTTTGGGAAACTTTAAATGGTTAGAATTTGATTATCTATTCAACGCATTTCATATTATTGTAAATTCATATTGAATTATTACTGAATTGATAGGGTTTCCAGAGTGAATTAGAATAGTCATCCTACCTTCAATCTATTTAACTCTCTATTAACTCAATTTGAATTAGCTATACTTGGTTTTCAATATTACTAATTCCTCCATATATAATTTTTATAGACAAGAACAAGGCTCGGTCCTCTGGTCAATCAATGGACAAATGGCTGTTGGCATTTAAAGATAGATCTGAAAATCTGGTGGTCAGTAATGATGGATTAAGTTGTCAAAGTAAAGATGCAAAACAGTGGCAAGGAGTTCGAGCCAATCGTGGTATTGTTCGTGATCCAAAAGTCAGAACCAATAAATTTTATTATGAAGTATATTTCAAAGAGGCTGGACTAGCCCGAGTTGGTTGGGCCTTAAGCAATGGCTCACTCGATTTAGGGACTGATAAAATTGGATGGGGCTTTGGAGGTACTGGGAAAAAAAGTAATTCTAGAAATTTTGAAAACTACGGCACAACTTTTGGTGATCGTGGAGATATCATAGGAAATGTTCTCGATCTTGATAGTGAAACTATTTCATGGACGAAAAATGGAGAATATCTCGGAGAAGCTTTCCGAATTCCAAAAAATCTTGTCAATCAAGCATTTTACCCTTGTGTATGTACAAAAAATGCTATGGTTACTGTAAGGTTTGAAAAATCAACTGAAGGTACGTCCGTATTTAAAATGAGAAGTTTATATTTCTAATCATTTTATTTCATACTCCACAATGTTTTAGGTAAATCTGATGCTCCGCCAAACTTCAATTGGGTATCGAAAGCTTCAAGTTCTCAGTACATAAATAACACTAACATAGGGACCTCAACAGACGAAAAAACTAAAGTCAGTGGTCCAAGAGCGGTGATTATCGAACCTAGCAGAGAGCTAGCTGAGCAAACTCTTAAATGTTTGGACTCTTTCAAAAAATATCTCCCCGGTGATATAAGACTCCTGTTGATTATTGGTGGAGGTAATGCTAAAGAACAAATGGATCAAATTCGTCAGGGAGTTGACATTGTGGTTGCGACTCCAGGTCGACTCGAAGATTTAGTTTTCAATAATGCTCTTAGTCTAAAGCAATGCAGGTATTTCAGCTCAAACATCTTTATATTATATTTATAAAGGTTTATATGTATTTAGGTTCACAACATATTTAGGTTTAAAAATGAAGTTACAAGAGTAAATTACAGTCAAATTGTTGATTTCAAAATTAAGAAAAATATTATAAAGTGATCATTTATAGAGATACAGAGTTAAGCATTTTTAACAATGTTAATTAATGTGACCACGGTATCCGTTATCATCTTTAACGTTTGGCTGTAATTTCAACTTAAAGTAGCTTCTCTATGCCAAAGAAGCCTTGAAATGCGTAAAAAATATTGTTCATTATTTTACCTTATTTTGTATAAAACTTGAGTTCAACTTTCAACTAATTGATAATTTATTCTTTTGATTTAATAGATTTTTTATTTTAGATGAAGTTGATGGTCTACTTCAGCAAGGACATACAGACATTATAAATCGTCTTCATGCTCAAATTCCTAGAATGTTTGATGATGGTAGAAGACTTCAAATGGTTGTTTGCTCAGCAACTTTGCATAACTTTGATGTCAAAAAACTTGCTGAAAGAGTGATGTTCTTTCCTGCTTGGGTCGACTTAAAGGTTCATATAAATTAAATTATAGCTTGAAGTTTAGTTTGTCAATTCAATGACGATGAATTTTCTTTTTTTTCTGCAGGGTGAAGATTCTGTGCCTGAAACTGTTCATCACGTCATATTTAGAATTGATCCCAGAGAAGATGATCTTTGGAAGAAATTGAAAAAAACAATAAAAACTGATGGAGTTCACAGCAAAGACCGTATTAGTCCTAATCAACCAAATGCAGAAACTCTTAGTGAAGCAATAAAACTTCTCAAAGGTAAAACAAAATCTCAAATAAGTTGATATTGATAGTCTCGAATTATTTTTTGTAAAACACTTCATTCTTCTTTCTATAAAAATTTAAGGTGAATACACTGTGAAAGCCATAGACAAGCTCAAAGTTGATCAAGCCATTATTTTCTGCCGAACAAAACTTGACTGCGATAATCTAGAAAGTTATCTCAATGATATAGGTGGAGGTAAGTTTGAAGTTTAAAAATATGAACTTTATTTATCTTTATTATTTTTTTCTGATTTTTAATCCAGGTCAACGGCAAAACCTTAAATATTCTTGTGTTTGTCTTCATGGTGATCGAAGACCTCAAGAACGTAAAACAAATTTGGAAAAATTCAAAGCAGGTGAAGTCAAATTTCTCATCTGTACTGATGTAGCTGCTCGTGGTATTGATATTAAGGGTAATTATAACGATCAATTGTGATAGTCATTCATCAAATTAATTTATTCATTTCTGAAAATTCTAGGAATTCCATTTGTAATTCAAGTAACTCTGCCTGATGAGAAAGCTAATTATGTGCACAGGATCGGTAGAGTTGGCCGAGCTGAGAGAATGGGTCTTGCAATAAGTTTAGTAGCATGTGTACCTGAGAAAGTTTGGTTTCACTCTAATTGTGCCAATAGAGGAAAAAACTGTTTCAATACTAATTTAACTCAAGATGGTGGTTGTTGTATCTGGTATAATGAATTACAGGTAATTTTACCCTCTTTTTTGATTATTTATGTTTTCCTGGTGAATTTAACTTTTACTGACTTTTATTTTGATTAAATTTTAGCTTTTAGCTGACATTGAAGAACATTTAGGCTGCACAATTTCAACTATTGGATCTGACTTTAAACTGGAAGTCAATGAGTTTGATGGAAAAGTTGTCTACGGAGAGAAACGTTCCGGTGGAAGTGGCATCAACTACAAAACTCATGTTGATCAATTAGCTTCAGTTGTCAAAGAGCTTTCAAATCTTGAAGGACTTGCTCAAAGTAAATTCTTAAAGATTAGTATGATGAAAATTTGAGTTACGACCCAAAGCCTGCCTTACGCTAAAACTCTGTTTTTGATTATGCATTTGACTGCTTGCATCGCAAGGCCACAACAGTCCCCTGCTTGAACAGCATAGGGACTTTAATGTTAATTTGTATCTAAATAAAATACAGGCATTTTTTGCTATCAAATAAATCTTTATCTACTTTAATATCAGTTATAATAATTGAGTTACCGTCTACTTTACGTCTACTTAATTTAATTTCAAAGTGCTTGACTGAAGTGTTAAGCTGAAATTTTATCTTCGAGTAATTATTGAATGAACTCTAAACTTGGATAAACAAAACCTTGAAGAGTTTTGTTACAAATTCGGGACAAAAGAGGCATAAAAAGTTATAAGGAAAAAATAACTTTGTTAGCTAGTTTAAAAGCTGCGTAACAGTCACTGTGAGTCATTTAGCTGGTTGTCTGATGGCTTCAGCTGTACTGACTGACTAACTCCAGGTTAGCAACTTGTGAATTTGAACTGGCTTCAGAATATAATCCTAGGTTTTTAACAATCTGTATTCGTGTTTATTGCATTTAGTTTAACTATAATAGTTAATTTTTGTTATTAACCAGAATTTACTTACTTTACTTTGCTTGTGTCATCCTATAACCTGGTTCAGTGTCATGGCCTTCTTTTAATTTCCTCTTGTCAGAATTCTGTACTGTGTACCAAATTGGTGGATAAAAAAGTAAATTATTTTTATTTTATCAATTCTAAGTTCTCATGCTAACATTAAATCTCAAAAATAGATTTAAATCTGAAAGGCATACTTTGAGAGTTTTTGATATTAGTGTTTTAAAAGCTTTTCATCTTTCCTTACAGTGAGTTCTGCGACAGGCAAAGAAAACTCTAAGCGTGGTGGTAAAAAGAAAAATTTCACTCCACTTCTCGATTTTGATAACAATGTGTTATTACCTGGTAAGTCAGTATGCCTCTGTACCGAAGTGTCAGTTCTGCTAATTCAAATATTTTCCTAATTTCATAGGTCGCCATCCTTGTGATTGTGAAGCTTCTGCTCATAAATTGGTAAATAATTGTTTATCTTGTGGCCGAATAGTCTGCGAGCAAGAACGAGTTGGAGAATGCTTCACCTGTGGAGCATACGTTAATGATAAAGAAATTGAAAGGCAAAATCAATTGGCTGCTGCTGCTCTTGCCGATTCTCTTGCTAACAGTCATTCCCAAGGAAAAGAAAACGAAAAAAAGAAGAAAAATGACAAAAATAAACGTGAAGGAATTAGAAACATTGCTGCAAGCTTAGAGAAAGCCGTTCAACATAAAAATAAATTATTGGAATTCGATAGCAACTGTTCTCAAAGGACCAAAGTTATTGATGATGAAACAGATTATTTTAAACTTACATCTCAACACTGGTTAAGTCAGGATAAAAGGGATAAGATTGGTGCTAAAATTGATTACCTTCAAGATAAAAAGTTCAGTAAAGAAAGGACATTAACATTGGACATTGTTAATCGTAGGTTTGAGGAAAATGTGACTCCAGTGATCAGTGACGTTGGAAAAGTTGTCCAAGAATTAGAAGAAGATGCTGCTTTCAAATCTGACTACCAAATTGTTGATAGCAAACATTTGAACTGCAACGAAAAATTGCCTCGAGTTAATTATTGCCAACAAGAACAAAAAGCTAACACCAATAAGAAAGGTAAACAAACCAAGCGAGAAAAGGCATCTGATACACCAACGTCATCCTCCGTGCGTGTTTCATTATTCAATCGTACTTCACTAAAAATTCAGGATCCAGAGTTGATGGAAATGAGTGATTCCGGCGTTTGTTTAACTGTTCAACAGCCTTGGGCCTCTTTCATCATGGCAGGTATCAAACTTCACGAAGGTCGAAGTTGGTACACTCATTATCGTGGTCGTATCTGGATTCATGCGTCCGGAAAAGCTGTCACCCAAGAAGAGATAACTACTGCTAAAAAGACTTTTGCTCTGATGTCTGATAAAAGGTTTCCCATAGATTATCCAAGATCCTTACTACTTGGATGTATTACGCTTAAAGATTGCCTTCCACAAGAAGATTACAAACAATCTGTTGCTAATCCATACATGGAATCAACTTATGTTTGGATATTGGAAGATCCTGTTCCTTTAAAAGTAAAAATTCCCATGAACTCTAAGTCGAATAGACTCTTTAATCTAGACGAACATATCTTGAAAGCGGCATTCAAGCAACTTGATTTTAGTTGAATAAAAATAATTTTTCATTTGATATTGAAATTGTTTTATATTATTGGAAAATCTTTAACTTCACTCTTTTAACTAGGCTTGAATTTGGTTAAATGTGACAGAAATTGAAGATGTTCAGTTCCTTACTGATGCTTATAAGAAATACAGTCCTGCCTTGGTCAAGAAATTGATCTTGACGCGAATCAATCACGCTACTTATGATAAGACAATTAAAGGTTTCATTGCTCAATTCGCATCACTGATTGAAACATTCACTCGTGACTTCGAATTCATGAGGATTCCCAATCTGACTTCTAATGCAGCAGCAGTTCTCTGAAAATCACTGATTCCCAATCATTCGATGTTGTAAAATCCAAATCACTTGCGTTCATCAAAGTCTTTATGAATGATATTTAGGCATGCAATTCAACTGGGAAATACGACCTCGTAAAAGCAATGCCCAGTGTTTCTTATCAAGAGCTGCCAACACTTATGAAAAAATCAGTCTTATAACCGATTCTATCCCTAATTAAAGAAATATCTTACACGATGCTTTGGCCCGATTTGGACAAATTGTCGATCTATTCTACAGACAATATCGAGTTTTTCAAACAAATGAAAGTTTTGAATTTTTGTTAATTTGTTTCTTACGAAATTATTTCGTTAGTAAAATATATCAATAAAATATTAGCAATTTAATACTACTCTTTTTTACTTCACTTTAATAAACTCTGCTAAGAATTTCTGAATTATTAATGGATTGTCGGTGCAAGCGAATTTCGCTAAAATCAAAAATTTTTAAGCTATCCGTGATAACTGAAATCGCAAATAAATATACACAACCCACTCAACTATCTACGAGTATTTAATAATTAAAACTGAAAATAAATCAATAAACTCAAGATCATGATTTGAACAAGATCAACATACATATTCCCATTTATAAAATGCATAAGAAATTATGTTCTTACTAAAAAGACACATTCATACACAAGTTGAGAGAAACTGGATAAAATGAATTTCTGTTAAATTCAGATTCTATTAGGTTGTAGAGAATTAAAAACTAAGTAAATTTATGCAATAAGAAAGTTTCTCTAATCTTTAGTTTTCAAGAAAATCGAGTCCAAAGTTGAAACTTGGATCGTTTTTAGGCAGCCGTGGAAGCAAATTTTTTCTTGTATTATATAATAACTTACTTTACTACTGTAACTTTTGATGATCAACCAGGCAATGTATTCATATTGAGAAATAGAATCTTTCGTTTTCTGTAAAACAGATAAGTTCGATTTTTAGTTGAACAGATCGCCTTCAGTGACCGTAAGACTAGATGAGCTGAAACTTATTATGCGTTCATAAGAATTGTTTGTACACATTATGGATTGTATGATTTCTTCAAACTATGAACAGTTCTCTTGATCTTGGCCATTGGACTTAAAACTTTGAACATCAATATCTCGAGAAAGGCATCACTTACAATCATCATTCTTACACCAATTTAATCCTTAACTAATTAATAAGTCAATTGCATTTAATAACTTCCCATTATTGCATTCGGGTCATAATTATTGGGCTATAGATGCACGAGAAACAACTTATTTAACAAAGTAAACTCATAACAACCAATATCTTGCAAAATGCAGCAATTTTCTGGTTAAGTTTGTAAATGAAATGCAAAGAGTGCTGCCAAAGGCTCGAACATTTGATTTGAGGGTCGATACTTAGTAAGGTTTGTAGGGACATTAAAACTGAGTCGATTGATGCTATTAAATAGTTCATCTGATAAATAGTTTTCGAGAAAATCGAAGTCAAAGTTGAAACTTCGATCGCTTTTTGCTCAGCCATGGAAGCATATTCTTTCATGAAACTTAGTTTGAGGATGTGACTTTTAATAGCTAACCAGAAAATGGACTTATTTTGATAAAAAACATTTTATTTTTCCTTGAAAACAGTTTAGTTCGATTTTTAGTTAAAGTGACCTCATTCTATGATCGTAAAAGTTAGCGAGTTGAAACTTATTATCAGTCAGTAAAAATTGGATGTTCATATCATGGATTGCATGCTTTTTTCAATTTATCAATAGTTCTCTCGATTTTGGCCATTGGCCTTAAAACTTTGAACCTGAATAGTTCGAGAATGGAGTAAGGTACAATCACCAATCTTTCATTAAACATTAGAATTTAACATGGACAATAATATTAAGAAACTTATAATCCTTCGAGATCCTTCAAAAAAATCATAGCATAAGTAATTTTGAGCTTGATTTATAAAGCTAAATGATTATTCAGGCACAAATCTTATATGTATATTCATCATTAAATGAATTTCTCATTGCATAGCTCAGTTTTCTTAGGTATTTAGTTATAGGTAATGATAAATTCTAATGTTTAATGAAAGATTGGTGATTGTACCTTACTCCATTGTCGAAATATTCAGGTTCAAAGTTTTAAGGCCAATGGCCAAAATCGAGAGAACTATTGATAAATTGAAAAAAGCATGCAATCCATGATATGAACATCCAATTTTTACTGACTGATAATAAGTTTCAACTCGCTAACTTTTACGATCATAGAATGAGGTCACTTTAACTAAAAATCGAACTAAACTGTTTTCAAGGAAAAATAAAATGTTTTTTATCAAAATAAGTCCATTTTCTGGTTAGCTATTAAAAGTTACATTCGTAAACTAAGTTTCATGAAAGAATATGCTTCCATGGCTGAGCAAAAAGCGATCGAAGTTTCAACTTTGACTTCGATTTTCTCGAAAACTATTTATCAGATGAACTATTTAATAGCATCAATCGACTCAGTTTTAATGTCCCTACAAACCTTACTAAGTATCGACCCTCAAATCAAATGTTCGAGCCTTTGGCAGCACTCTTTGCATTTCATTTACAAACTTAACCAGAAAATTGCTGCATTTTGCAAGATATTGGTTGTTATGAGCTTACTTTGTTAAATAAGTTGATTCTCGTGCATCTATAGCCCAATAATTATGACCCGAATGCAATAATGGGAAGTTATTAAATGCAATTGACTTATTAATTAGTTAAGGATTAAATTGGTGAAAGAATGATTATGGGAAGTGATGCTTTTCTCGAGATATTGAGGTTCAAAGTTTTAAGTCCAATTGCCAAAATCAAGAGAACTATTGTTAAATTGTTAAAATTATTCAATCCAAAATGTTAGCCAACAGTTTTTATGAACAAATAATAAGTTTCAACTCGCTAACTTCTATAGTCCTAGAAAACGAGCGATTCAATTGAAAATCGAACTTATCCGTTTTGCAGAATAACAAAAGTTCTATTTCTCAAAATGAATACATTTCGTGGTTTATCATCAGAAGGTAGCTCAGTATCATAAGTTTCTTGAAAAAATCTGCTTCCATAATGGTACAAAAAGCTTTACAAGTTTCAACTTCGAACCTCATTTTCTCGAGAACTGAAGATCTTAGAAATCTTCAAATAGTACAAATGGATTCGGTTTTTGTCTCACTACAAACAGTCAGAATCTAAAACGTAAAGAAATCAATTTTTTCCTCATTTTTGCCCGTTTGTGTATAAAATAACAAATTTTGTCTTTTCAATAACAACCAGAAAAAAGGTTTTCCTAATTTTGCCTTAAAGAATCACACATTGAATTAGATTGATTGTCATCTCTACCGTCCAGAAATATCTTTTTCTGTTCAAATTAAACAGGAAAAACTGTATTAATGTAATAATATAAATCAGTGTATTGTTCAGATTTGATTGCTATTGTATGCTGAAGTAATAAGTATAAGTAACAATAACCTGGACTTTTGAGTGCAATCAATTTTTTGGTTGCATCAAAACAAATGTTTTTTTCAATCAATTTCATTCACTTTTAAATGATGATCGATGGAAAGGCAATTCAATGGATTAATTTTTCTTCGTTCGATTAATTTCTTTTAATGTTTATTTGACCAAATTAGAAAGTTAAATGTTGACAATAAAAATTGATGATGAATGAATTGAAGACAAAAAAGGCAACTAAATCAATCAAAGGGAATGAACATGTTTACCGAATCTTTTGTCTTATATAATTTTATCCTGTTGATGGTCTTTGTGAAACCTGATCAATTGGTTGGTAAACAATGGACAAATCATTCAATTGACCTTGTCAAAGTAAGTAAACCATATCAAATAAGAAAGGTAAGAAAGTCCAGAAAAGAGGATGAAAAATGAAGATGATGATGAAAAAAGGCCAAAAAAGCAGGCGATTGAACAAAACAATGAAACCAAAGCGAAGAATGAAAAGATTGAAAAATACAAAATGAAAACTCAGTTTGTGGAGTGATCTGTGTTAGCTGATCTTTAGGTCACTTTTACATCTTTTTTTTAAGATCAGCTTTAATATGGTCTAATGAACATAATTTTATTAACTTGATTTGACCCAATTTAACCTTTGTTTAATTTAACACAAATATCAGAGTATCAGGTTCGTTGGTTTATTGTCTGGTAAATTTATGATTTGTAATTCAAACTAAATTTCATTTCGCATTTTCTAGACTTTAATTTCTTGACTATATTGATCAGGTTAATATGGGTTTATATGATGATATGAGAAGTAAATAATTGACAGTTTTGATGGGCAATTTAATTAAACAAGTAAAACCAAATCAATATTGTGATTGAGTTATTGCTATTTTTCAATTTACCAATGTTGGTTAAACAGCGGGAGTTGATTTCAATCAGCCAATTTTATAGTGAATGTTGATCATTGAATTGATTTGTTTTTTATCAATAGTTAATGGAATGAGTTTAAATATTTTAGATTTATTTCAATACTTTATTGAAAATAACATTTGAATTTAATCTTGTAATGAAATAATTATAATGAATGTATAATTAGATGTTCCTGTTTCTTGGTCACTCTATGATTAATGAAGCAGCAATATTGAAAGGCTTGACATGATTAAAAATGAAAATTGAGTCAATTTGGGAGATAATAATACAAAATAATACAAAATAAATAAGCAACCGTTTAAGAGGTTTAAATTGACTAGATTTTAAAGGGTTAACCAGTTATTTATGTGAACTTTTAACTTCAATTAAAAGTGATTCTTGTACTATGAAGTTATTGGATATCATGTTGAGTGATCATTAATGAGTGGAAACTCACTTAATCAAAGGTGTACAGCTAAGTGTTAGACTTTACAGAATCACAGGTAAAGGATATTGTTTCTTAAATTGCATCAAATCACTGGTTGTAAAATAATATCCATGAAAACCTTTACCCTGAAGCTAAAAATGATTAAAGTTTGTTATCAGCAAAATTATCAAGATTGATGTAGTTGATCATATTACTATAAATAAAGCTAATTATCGTTGTTGACTCTTGACAGTCTTTACATGGGAAGCAATAACTCCAATGAAAATTATATAAATTGATTCGTTATTCATTTTGTTCATCTGGACACAAGTAGCCACTGATTTGGTCGTCAATAACAGATGGATCCAATATTTCCATTGAAGCTAATGTTTCCAATGGACTCTGAAATATGAAAAAATCACAATTAGAATCAGAAATGATTAAGAAATTGAATATAAATTGTAAGCAATTTCAGTTGAGTTTTCATTTGTAATAGATTTGGTTGGAAGAAAGGTTACAATTCTTGTGATAATATTTTTAAACTCAACTGAGTTGAAACTTAATTATTTGTATTAGTAGTTGGTTGTCTAATTAAAAGTTAATTAATGAAATTTAACAGACAGCAAAAAATAGATTGAATCAAATGAAAAAAATTGAGTCAATTCATTAATTTTACCTTCTCATGATCATGAAATTATTAGATTATGTTACAATAAAAAACTAGTGCAATTATTTTTTATTGAATTGTTACCTGATGTCCCAAATTAAAAGATGATCAACGCAATCAGAGTTAATTGTGTTGCGGATAAATATACGGAATTTATAAGTTCTGAAGTCCATAATTGGCTGATTCCTTATCCATATCAGGGTCACATGAAGTTATAATGAAAAATCACAGTTGAAACAGTGAATATTTGGCTATTTTTAAAATTTCAAAATACGATTCCTTCCAGCGTCATCCTAATAATCATGATCACATTTTGAGATGATATTATTATCGACAATTTAACCAATTATTAGCATCAAAAATCAGTCAGTGCGTTTCAAGTATGTTTCAATGTCTAAGAAATAAGCGTTTGTTGTGACCAGAAACTGTAAAAGGATAAAAAAATGTTTGAATTAGTTGAATTGGTAAGATAAAGTTCAACTGTTAACCAAATGATCAGGTTAACATAAGGAAACAATGTTTTGACTGGTGAAACAGCAAAAAAGTGTATATATTTTTGTCTATTACCTTTACTAATGAAAGAGTAGTTAATGAATTAAAGGTAGTGCACACTATTATGATTATTAACTATTGACTTTGTCTGTTCAGTTTGCCATTTTATCATCATCTTAATCATTGACGACAACATCATTATTAGTGAATGGATTGCCTGTAAGGAGAAGTGAAAAAAATAGGGAAGAAGATATGAAGTGAATCTTGATTACGTGAATTAATAGTTAGCAAAAAATTAAATTGCATGGAACAATAGTCGGGTAACAAAAGCAGAACTGAATTAAATTTAATTGTGGTTTTGTTTTAACTCATATTTTCCCTTATTTTACAGGGTTTACTCCTGAAAATCAAAGGTATCTAAATGTTGCCCCGATAATCATTTCATGTTTATATGTTTGTGAATTTACCAGTTTTTTTCTCACCCACTGTTAATGATTATCGCCTTTATAACAAAATAATCCATAATGGTGATGATAATAGGAATAATAACAATTTCCAGATTCCCTTGTTACCCACAATATGAAGAACAATTTTACGGACAATTTACATCCCTAAATGATTTGATCCTCTCACCTCGTCAGTAACCACGGAAATGGTAATATTTTGAAATGTCAATTTAACATGGAATCTGAATGGTTTGTCATCAAATCAGCCGTAATCTGTTAATAAAAAAAATTTTACTTGAAACAAATGAAATGATAAAGGGTTTGAATGATTGCTGTTGAAATCTTTGGTAATAGGATTTGTGAATCAGTTGGAGTGGTCAGTTGGCTATGTTAGTTCCAGTTATGGATGAAAAAATTTACTTTCATTAATCTGTAGAGTTCTGAATGATGATTAGATCAACAGCTATTCAACATCAAATTCAGTGGGCATTTTTTGTACATGTGATTTTGTAGGTTTATCAATTAACCTTAATTTGACGTGTATTGTGGGTAATAACAATAATGGTGATGAAACAGCAATAATAGGAATAATGATGATATTACTACCAATAGTCAAAGGTGTGTTGATCAAATGAAGATAACTGTTCAACTGTGAATTTAATTTATTGATGTTTGACCAACAATGAGGAAGAGAGCATAAAAAGACAGTAAATGTCATTTTAATCCTTTACTTATTGCTACCTTTTTCATCATCTTTGTCATCATTGTTACTTGTTTCATCTCATCTTTTTACTTAATTTTTTAGCTTAAAAAACTCAAATTAATTTTATTTTTCAAGGCAACAATTTAATGACTACCTTGAATTCACATAAGCACTCAGCAACACCCAGCAACCTTTCATTTTTTTCATCTCTTTTCCATCTTCTTGTCACGGATGGTATTACCAATGTTCTTACCTGTCTATCTTAATTTCTTGCTTTTTTTTGCTTACTTTTCATCATCTGCTCCATCATTATCTGTTTCATCGTCTTCAATCAAGATGGTTATCATCTAAGTTACTGGTTCATCAAATTACAGCAAACAGTAAAAGTTGAGGCACAAAATCCAGCTTTCGAAGCATCTCCATATGTTTAATAATTGTGACAATGTTGAGTTAGTAGGCCATAGTTGGACACCAAAATCAATTTAATTTAACATCATGTAACGAATGAAATGATGATTGAAGGCAGCGATGAAAAAAATGTGGTAATAATCGGGGCAGAAAAATTTTGTGTAAAAACTAATGGTGCACAGTTAGACTCCTTCAGCTGGCTTTTGTACCATGGAGAGAGTGCAAGAAGATATATATTTCAAGTTAATCTCTTCTGTTTCTATCCTTCTTTAAAGCTTGTCACCGATTTAAAACTGAATGATCACATTATCACAAGTTAAATTCATTGGAGAGACAAATCAATGGATAAAGAAGGCTTCCGGACTCATTTAGGCGAAAAAAATTATCACTTTGCTATAAGTACATGAAGTGAAAAAAAGATGGCGATAATGAGCAGCTTCATACAGCAACAGAAAGCGAGGGAAAGATAGAGTCAGTGAGAGAGAGCAAGTTAAAAGCAAGAATTGATTGTGAATAAAAAAAAGTATGTAATGATAATTGAGTCGATTGTTACTGATGCAATTGTTACAATAATTCATGTGGAACACTTATATTCTCTGTATTGTCACCAACTGGCCCATTTATGAACACACCACCAATTCAGGTAAGAAAAAAAAGCTGGCGAGCCAAAAAACGCGATCATGTTGAATATTATGATAATCATCCGTCACATAGCGGGTTAAAGTGTAATCTCTCTTTTTTTACGTTTCAACTAGTGAAGTAACTCAACAAGAAATGTCTCTTAATAATGGCTAATCATCATAATCGACATGATTTCCGTTTGAAATGAGGAAACAATTGTTTGCTTTTGTTTATTTGGCTCCTTGTTTAGATATCATGCCTTTTTCCCTGGAAGCCTGTTAGTTATTTATTACCATTTCAATATTGATTTGCTCTATTGGTGTCTTTTTTATTTTATATATTTATTTCATTTCAGTTTTCTAACCATTAACCAAAACCAACTAAATCATATTAACCATAAAGTTAAATCATCGATTGATAAGTCTTTCCATTCACCGTTTTAATGATATATGAGAATGTTTACCCTTTGTTCCTGTGTCGCATCTTATTTTAAGTGTTTAAGTTATTTTCCTATTTAATTAACTGATTTTTTTGTTTCTTTGCAGGTATTTTTGTTTTGTTTCTGGCTCATTAGATGATAAACATGGTACCCTGACTGGTTAACTATCACTGCTTATGGAAGTGCAATGATTATCACAATAATGCGTAAATTATCAAGAGCATCTACATTAAGAGAGTACAACGTCAATGTTTTCATTTTTTCAATTCAGATGACATAAAGATTGATCAAAATTAGTCGCCGCTGGCTATTTGCTGTTGTGAACCACTTGCAAGTTGAAAGGTGTTTTATTGATGGTCATGTTTAAATAATTATGATTAATATTAGCAAGTGATTATTATTACCTGGCTATCATTATATTTAAAAATCATCACTATTGTCGTCAGGATCTTTGGTGGTCTCTTCGTATTACATCGCTAACTGATGCTGACAGTTTATGATCATAGCTACATGTAAATGATTGTTGATTTCTTGTTAGTGTAACTAGTGATTAAATGAAGGCTCTAAATGAACAGTTTAACAAGATTGAAACTAATTGTGATCACTTTAAATTATAAAAAAGGGTTAATCATCTAATTGTTGCTTTTGTTGAAATTTGCATAAATATAGCTAACTTGAATGCAGAAGAGTACAAGCAAGGTAGAATGGTTAAGTTCATTAGTGAACCATGATAATGAATAACAACAATGATAATTATTCTCTTAAGCCTTAATTAATTAATTGTCAAAAATATTATTCAAGGTCGACTAAAAATATTAACTATAATAATCATACGAGTCTCATAAAAAAGATGAAATCAATTGAATAACATTAAACATTTACAAGTGATAACCAAAATGATTTGCTTCAAATGGCTGAATAAAGGGAAACACAAAAAGCATTGTAATCAGGAAACATGATTAAGACTGAAAACTTGAATATTAATTATTGTGTTGCATCAATTTAACGATTGAAATCTTGATTCAATTCAATTGTTTTGCATGATTTAATCCCATTTAAACCAGTTGTCCGCAATTAAATAATTTAAAAATGACAATTGTTTCAATCTATGAAATCAGGTTTATTGGTAATAGCAATTTATGGTAATTTAAATCAAGATTTTTATACAAAATGAGATCAACAATTTTCTTGGTAAATTATTGGCAGTTAATTGATAAAAAAAGTAAAATTTAGGTTAATATTAATGAAATTTTTTATAACAACAATGAATAATATAAATTGTAAAGATATTCAATTTTTTACTTTGAACATTTAACATTGAATTGGAGAGTAAAACAATTTACTCTACTTTTTAAACCAATTGATGTACATTTTCATTGATCTAAATCTCATTTTATCGTGTTGGACAATCAAATGGTAAATTAAAAATATAAAATCAGTTAATACTACAAAATGAGAAACAAATTGCTATAACAATATTAACAATCCAGATATGAATTGTTGGATCAGTAAAGGTTATGAATATGCAGAAGTAAATTGATCTCAAGATTTATAATGGAAAAAGTATTTTTATTTGAAAAATGAGGTAAAAAGGGAAAAAAGTTAACTCAAGTTATTACAAGCATTTTTGTGTCAAAAAAATTGCAATTCAACTTTGAAACTTTTTAACCAAAAAATCATTATTTTTTACACGAATTTAGCCCGTAACCAATGACTGGATACTCTGTTAATATCACTAACATACACATGAAAGCATGATCAAAGACTGAAAAAGGAACTTTCAGACTTAAAAGAGCAAAATCTTACATTGAATCATTTTAGGTACCAACAGAGATTCAATGATGTAAATGAAGCTGGTTTCTCTTGTCTGGTTGTGTTTACAATTGTAAACCTTGTTAATCTATCAGTTTCAATATGTAATGAGTATTTTGAATTTGACAAGAAAATCAGACTTTATTTCACACAAGAAATGCATCTAATACATGTTATTATAATATTATAATACATATAATACATATAAGGTATTTGTTTTAATCAAACAATTTCAGTATTTTATATTATCATAACCTTTTGATTAGAGCAGCTATGAAAGATATTAATTTTGCTGTGTTGGGTAAAATTATAATTACAATTTGAAGTAAAATTTGCTTCTGAAAGAGCATAATATTTCGTTTCTTATTGATTTAGTCTTTTCTTTAATATTTTGCACCAATATGTGATTTATTCAAATTAATTGTCAAATAGTGTTGATATTTGACCTGGTTTGAGACGTTTGTCAAGGTGATTGAGACTTTATTTGCTTGGATCAATTATCTTGACATAATAGGTTATGTAGACGGTGTAATCTGTCGACTAGACGTGGTTGGACATAATCTTCCTGGTTTGGTGAATTCGTATGAACGATTACCTTGATTCAATCAATTAGCTATACAAAAGAGAGCAGCATTTGATTGTTTGCTTTGATTTAGCACCCAGGAAGTCATTGTGAATTGATGACAATCAAATCGGGAAACACTCAGACGATCTCTTGTTGCGTCTATCAATGAATATAAATTGGATTACTCTTTGACCAGTGAATGAAATTGAAACAATTGCAAATTTTATGTAAAATTTTCATGTAAAAATGTTACATTTTAAAGTTTTTACACTAAAAGGTTAACAAAAGACTCTATTGTAGAAACAAAAAACAAATTAAGGACAAACAATTGAGTATTTAAATTTGATTCCGTCAACAATAAAACAAGAGCCTTTCCTTTGCAAAAAGGAGTCAAAACTGATTTAATTGTTTCTCTTGTAAAATAAAATTATATCACTGGAGTCATAATCAATTAAAGTTTCATTTCCAACTTTCACTTGGATATGAGAACATTGATAAATTAAAAGATCCTTTGCTTTTTAACTTAACTGCTAATTCAAACCATTCAATTATCCACATTTGTTTTCGTTGTTTTCATCTGTTACTTATAATCATCAAATTCTGAGAATGTCGATTACACCAACAATTTGTTTTAACCAGTTATTTTTCATAACAATTTCAACATACTTCTACTTTCAATTAACACTGATTAGAGGATCATCACCATCAATTAAACTGTCTCAGCAATCGTCGAGTGCATTAGGCTCAGCTCGTTCTCGTCCCTACCAAAAACAAGCCATTTTTAATAAACCATTTGGAATCCTCAATCCTTCTGGTTGCTGTCCATGTAATGAATGTTGCTCCTGTGAACCAGATTATTTAGATGACGAGCCTGTTTCGCCAGCATTACCAGTACCAAGTTTACCAGGAGTCCCATTGTTTAATCGATATGGCTCATCTTCATCATCAACTTCATCCTCATCCTCAACCCGTAAGTCTCTTGTTGTTAGGCGCCGTTATGTCCGACCAAATGGAGCAGTTGTGGTTGAAGTTGAAGAGTCACCAGTAGCCACTGGACGAGGTGGTGCTGCAGCTGGTAACAGTAATAGTGGATCTTCATTGTTTGGTGGAAGTGGACTATTTTCACGGTTTTTACCTTCTGCTATTGAAAGTGCTACCAACCGTACTCAAAAAGTTGACCCAAAAGACTCGCAAATAACATGGTTTCCGTCAAATTCAACTCAAATACCAATGGTCTTGATCTCGAATCAATCAACTAAGCTTGATAGTCTTGAAGTCTCTAGCAATGACACTGTATTAACAAATGATGAAGCTACTAGTAAGGTTAAAAGTTAAAAAATGCCTAAACTTAACAACTTTAATGCTCATCCTATTATAATATATTCTTTATTTTCATTATTTGTGTTGTTTAAAGTGGTAATTAGATCTACCTGTTAAGTGGATTGTATTGAATAAGGTTGAAAATTTTACTTTCATATATTTATTATTTATTCATTTTTTCTGTTAGCTTGAATGTATAAGGATATATATTTTTCACCTTTGCTATTAAATGTTTATAAAAATTTTCAATTTGTGAAGAAGCTCATCTTGGTTAATTGTCAATGTAAGTTAAATAATTACAGCTGATTTTTAGCTTGAATTTGAGATGATTAGAGATGAGAATGAAATATAAACTCGAGGAAGACGCTAATATACTCATATGGAGACAGAGAAGTGAATGTTACAAGTTACAAAAAAATTAATTAAAAAGCTAAAAAGGTAGTTTAGATCCTTGAAGTGATTGGAATTTTTAATGGGAAGTAGATTCTATTTTATCTCTAGATATATTTTCTCGAGTATTTAGTATTGTCGTTCGACATAACGAAAAAGGTAAAGGTCATTTTTTCTCACTTTTTGACGTTATGAATATTCATAATTAATTCATTGGCACCATGCAAAGTTTAAGCTCATCACATCATTGCGATCGGATAAAAAGATGATATTTATCACGATGTTCAAGACTGCATTATTAGAATAGAGGTTCTGTAATCAATTGGGATCATCAAATGTAAGTTCAATATTGTACCAACCACAAACATCTTAAATTTGAGTTTAGGAAAAGAGAGAAATGAAAGAAATCGTTAGATCAATGAAAATTTTGAATAAATTGTAACAGTTGAGATTACCTGATATTTGAGGTACACAATAAAATCCAGTGTGCTCATATATGAAGCTGCTCAATGGACAATCAAAACAAGGTATTGATAATGCATATTACTCTTAGTAATGAAATGCTAACTTGAGAAAACAATGCAAGTGAATAATTCATTGGCCAACAAATTATGAATTAACCATGTTAACTGTAGCGAGAACCGAAAGAGCTCAATGAAAGAAGTACTTGAAAAGTGTTTTGATGCACTAATGGTTAGATACTCTTTTCTTAAGGGGACGAGCTGCATTGCTGGATTTCATCAGATTTTTTGTTTGTTTGCTTGTTTGTTTTCTGTGTAGCGTGTGTCCAGTATAATCATCGGGTTCATCATTTTCAGTTATTATGATGATTATTATTTGAAAATCCGTGTTTTCAGAACAGTATTACAGGCCATAAGGGGAGGGCGAAAAAGATGAGTTTTTTTGTAAACTTTTCTCCTTTTCTTTCTCTTTCTTTTTCTATTCTGCAACTCATCATTGATGACCCTGAATTTTATAGAAAGAAAGAGAGATGAGTAAAGAATTCTGAAATAAATAAATAAAAAAGAAAAAGGAATCAGTTAAACAATGTTGGAATGGTGAAAAAAAGAGAAAAGATGAGGTAAGTTGGGGTAGTTTGTACCTCATTGGAATCAGAACAAGTTTGATTAGGCCTATTTATCTAGATCATGAGGAAAAACAAAAAAATAAAATACCTTTGTTTTGTGTACTTTTCCCTCTTTTTTTGAGGATAACAGTTTTAGCTAAAAATTTTAGCTTTCTTTAGATGAGCTCAATCAATGATTGCTATTGTTGTTAACTATTTCGCCATAATAAAGATGATGATGACAATCTTCTTACTTGTCTTTTCGTTAGATTCCTGGCCGAATACCAAGTATTGGAATTAGAGATACTTTTCAGGCGGAGAAGAACAAAATGATAACAATTTAGCTGTGACACAATTATTTCTGAGCGTCTAAAACATATCAATTCAATTTAATTCCACTTATAGCTGTTTTCACTTGGATGGGAAGGTTAGGTAAAAGATGGCGATGATTGGAAAAATGTCATCAATTTCTTTTGAGAGAATCCGATTCATGGATAAATGATGTAATCATCGACCACACATCTTTGTAGACAAACCTTTAAAAATTAGCATAATTTATCAACATAGCACAGAACAAGATCAAATAAATTTTGTTTAAATTAAAACAAATTTGGAAATTGGAAATTGGAAAAACTAGAAATCTTTGAAAATTGTAAACAAAGCTGATGCAAAAGTTCATTTTGATACTTGAGTAGACAAAATATCAGATCCCTTGTTATAAAGATCAAAGAGTAAAATAATACTTTTTGATAAAGATTATATCGTTATCAGTATCTTTATCTAACAATTTTTGTCCGTTACCAAAAAATCGATTCTTTTATTTAAATAGAGTCTCTCTTTTATAAAAGCTAACAGATTTCACGTCTGATTTACCAGATTGAATCAACTATCAGACGTCTATTCATTTCAATGTTTAGTTTTGCTGCTATTAAATCAGTTGTATACTAATTTTAAAGTCACAAGGTTTCTTTGGCTTTGGATTTTGTCAACTCTTGTGTTGAACATATAAACACTTCTAGAGGTAAGATTGAAAACAATAATTTACCTTGACTATTTTTCTCAATTATTATTCTATTCTGTTAATTTATTGATTTATTTCGTTAACTGCTGTAGGTTTGTTTAAATGATTTACACCTTGGTAGACCAGTTTCTGTTTGACAGTGGTAGGACTATAAGTTTGAAAACGGCCATTAAGCAAGCACGTATGGATCATCAATTTGTCTTTCTGCAAACCATTCCCTATGACAGGGGTTATTATCGGTGAATTAGCTATATTTCTCTTCTCTTGGTTGATTAATTGGCAAGTCAGTGAAACAAAAAAAAGAGAAAATTAAATCAAACGCGCTAAGAATGCCAATCGTTGGTGAAAATGGTTGAGAATCTCATTGTAATGTAAGTATGAGTTACCTTTTTTGTCAACCCTTCTTTTTCTTTTAAAATTTTACTGATCAATCATTGTTAGTGTTGATTTGGAATTGATAAAAATCATAAATATATCTCATGGATTCTTTTTTTCTACTTTTTGCTTTTGTCAGTCAATTGAGTCAGTTTACTCACGGTTAGAAAGAATTAGGAAGTTCACATTACTTTCAGATGCTGTAAATAAGATAACTTACATACTTGTACATTTTTGTTTCAATCTTATCGTTGGAACTGTCAACAGTTTGATGAGTGATTAAAATAAGTTTACGAAAATTGAGAAGAAAAAAGTATGATCAAGGATCAAATGAGAAGGATAATTTTTGTTTAAAAGCAAACTAATTAAAGGTTATTATTGATGAGATTTGTGATTAAAGTTCAAGCCTGTCATGTTGACATTTATTTTTCATCCTCTATTTGTACCGAAAACGGAAACTGATTATATTGTGATGATATTTGTCCTCGTTAGTTAATTGACACTCATTGTTTTAGGTAAATGTTTTTTAGCTTCGCGTTAGTTCCATCATTATTTTGCTATTAGCCCTTTCACTGATTTTTTAATAAAAAGATGCTTTTAAATGTACTTTTAAATAGCTACCAACTGTTTAACCGGGTAACCTATTGTTCTCAATAAAAATATGATAATATTAACCATAAAGATTAATTTGCTTCTCTTTTATTTCTCAGGTATCATCATGTTTTATCCAACTTGCCAGAAAAAAAAGTAAACTTGGTTTTGTCTTTCCACTTTGGATGATAAAGAATCAAGAGCGTAGATTAATTCAATTGAAATTAACTAACCCAGTGGTGCTTTGTTAAACGTCTTGATTAAACGATTAAGATGCTATGATAGCGTAAAGTTATGGAAATTGGTGGGAAACTCAATTTGCTGAGCTGTTGAATTTATTCACTATTTTCACACATTGAATAATCCTAATGCAACGTGAAGACCGGATTACCAGATTTACATCGTGAAGTTCAAAAACTTGGAAAAATGCAGAACTCTCCTGGTGATGATTCTGATTTTTTTCAGAAGGTTAAATCTTAATCAACTCTGAAGTACATTATCTTTCATCAACCACTTTCCATAGCGACTTCATAACGGACTCATTTTCATCCACCTTTCTCTTACCAAGAATCAACCTTCTCGGTAATTTAGTGGCGATATGCTAACCAAAAAAGCTTCTTCCAGCTTGTATAACTGGATAATTACCATAATCACAGTTACAATTAGTAAATCTTGGATCAGCATAAAGTTTGTTTTAGTTGACGGTCATAAAAATCCCAGACGATTCTCACCTTTAATATTAATTTATCACGTTTGACGTATCAAGAAAGTCTCAAGAAGCGTCAATATTTGCTGATATAAAAAGACAAAAGAAATGAAAAGCTGAAAAGCGTTTGTACCAAAAATCATCACCGAGAAGACAATCGTCTAACTATCGTAACTCACGCCAATTTTCATCGTTTCCATAAACATTTCTTATCTTATTTTCACTGATATCGTGTTACCACAATCTTGGGATGTTAATCAATAAAGCTAGTCGGTCAATTTAATGTATCAAGGCTAAAATGACCTCTTGAAAATGGTGTGAAAAACGCAATTGAAGGAAAATCCGTGTCAAGAATAACAAAGATGTGGTGAGAGTTGAATGGGTTTTGGATGCAGTTGTTTACGTTTGTTTTTACTGAACCACTTAATTACAGTTCTTGCTCAACATTATGCTCATCCTCATTTAATAAGAGCTAACTACATAAACTTCAACAAAGATAGAAACAAAAGATATTGTTATTGTTGTTGTTTTTCTAGAATGATAATAATCATAACAACAATAATAACAGTAATAAAAATAATATTTTAAAAAGGTAAAAAAAGGTAAGCTTCAAATGGAAATGTTTTTCTGTTTCATTTTTGTCTGACTGTTGATTTGTTTTGCTTGTTTCTTTTTGTTTCTTCATTCTTCATTCCATCTTGTTATTGTTGTTTTTTTGTGTGTCCTCTAGCATCCTCCAACTGCTAATTAGAGTAAACTTGTTATGTTAATTCAAGTTGAATGCTAATTGAGATAAACTTAATTGCTAACCCAATCTTTCTCCCCTTTCCTTGACAAAAAAAAGTAAAGCTTCATTGTGCTCAGTTAAACACATACTCATCCTACTCTTTTTCATTAACAGGTACATTTTTGACAAGCTGGTGTTGCAAAAATTGAATTTGATCGGTTTGGATGGAACAGGGGGGAGAAAATTCTCATCATCACCAAGATTTCTCTTTCACTGGAACAATAGGAACAATTTTGGAAGTGTTGCCCCATCAAGAAATGTAAAACTTAAAGCTATTCTGTTGCCCTGATTTCAGGAACAACCATGATTAAGGGGCCTAATCTTACCCAGAATCAAAGTCACTTAATTATTCACCTTCACTTGGAAACAAATTCAGGACAACGTGTAATACACTTTCAAAGAAATATGATTTACTATCAGGAATCAAATTCTCTACAATGTCAATCAATTTCCACCTTATCATAGCTGAATCAAACAATTACCTACACAGTCCGAAATAAGAGTTAATTGTAAAGCTAAAGGCTTTCTGTTGTCGCACATTTTGCTCTGAAAAATGAAAAGTCTGATTCTGTAGCTAGCTTGACATTATTGTTTATATGCAAGTAATTTTCTCGTCGCTTGTTTGAAAACTCCCTTAATTTTTCAGCAATTAATAAAACCATCCATAATCAATTGATATAATTTATTCAATTCTGGTTCCTAATTTAAGGTCAAGTCAATGCTGGACAGGAAAAAACTTACAAGCTAAAAATGACTTTTCTCGTAAATTTGCCAAATAAACAGATTTAGCCATTGAAACTAATCAACCAAAAGGTCATGATTAGTTTAGGTTGATCCAAGTAAATAGACAACGTTTACCATCTTAAAGCTGACTAAGGTAAGTGAAAATTAACCTGTAACAAGTAAAACAAAATCTATTGAACTGAATTAACATCAACTTTTTTCTTTTTCTTTCTCTTTCCTTTCAGCAAACTACTCATGCATCTGGTCATTTAGTTAATAAAGCAAGCTAAAATGAATCAAAATGAGTCAAATGATGAAAATGGCGATGAAAATGATTCACTTAGCGGCTTTAAAGTTGTATATTAACTGTGCCATTGCTAAATAATATTAATTATTGTCTCAGCTAAACTATTATGTTTTGTTGTACTACCATTACCAACTTCGGCTATAATTAGACAGTGAAAATAAAAGGAAAAACAAAGTAACAAAGGAAGAACAAGTTTTGGTCATTAATGAGGAACCTTTTGGTGGACAATCAGTTGAAAAAGAAACACAGTTTGCTTTCTGTTACAGTTAATCACTGAGAATATAATATTTTGTATTGTATTTACAAAAGCAAATGCATGATGTTCAATCTTGACTAACATTGAAAGACGGAAAAAATCACATTTTAAAGATTCAAGGATAACCAAACTGTTTTGGTCAAGAGAACCGATTAGTCCATCCATGTCTTCTGTCCATTGGTCCAATCAGTTAATTTCGGTTCTGGTCTAAATAATCAACGTTTCAACTTGAATCTTTTTTTTCTGATCAACTTTTTCTCCAAGTAATTTGTCAACAACAGTGAGATGAACAAGAAAAAAAACGGAATATATTAAGTGCAGTGTGTTAAGCACTTTTTTGTTGTTCCTGAGCATCTTGAACATGACATTTTGGACCAGGAAATGGTATCAATGATTAAGATGATGGAGAACAAAAAAACAATTTTAAAATCAGTTTCTGCTCTTGGGTTGATCAACTGTTGAAGTATTATCTGTACATCTTTTTTTTCTTAAAATCAGATTATTTGGTGACAAAACATCTTAAATCTTCTCCATCAAAACAACTGAATTTATCAATTCTGATTCTTTATTTTGACCATTTAATCTTCTCTAATATCATTTCCATCATCTTAATCATTTTATTTTTCATTCATTTTGGTTTAAAATTTCAGAAGACTTTTTAATATCCAATTTCATTTAATTTCAATTCGTTATTTCAATTGCCAAATACATTTACTCAACATAATATAGTTGATAACAATTCATAATTTTTTGGTAATAACATTGATAATAAATAAAAGACAAATGACAAAATTTAGATATAAAACCATGGAAATAAATTAACAATTGATTTAGCTACTATTTATATTGAGAAAACAAATTACAATCAATTGTAATAGCATAAATGATTAACACTTGAGAAATGCGAAAAATAAACTTTTCAAATTGAAGGAACAGTTCTGTGAAACAAAATATATAATATTTAAATGACCTACCAAACAATATATTGAGCTATATTGATTAAATAATGATCTAGAACAAGTGTTGAGCGTTTCCAATTAATATACTTTAAGGTAAGAAATGGACGCACAAAATAACGTGCGTTTTGTGGGGTTTTGGTTATATTGTAAATCCAATATAAAAAAGTGAGTCTTACATCCAAATTTTATATAAAATGTTGATAAAATCGCTCTGATGGTGAATTTTGATAGTGATAACGATGATGATGATTATGATGATAATAACTGGAGATGACAATAAATCCAGTACAGAAGATGAAATAAATAAATAATTTGGAGTCTCGAGATCACGTTTTCGTATTACTTTGCTACTTAATTTAGCTAAACCATTACTCTTTGTCCTCCATTTGCTTTGTGCTACTCCAATGACAGAATCAAGTTTACCTTCACCATCATCTTGTCTCTTTACAATTCAATTCGGTGGTATGTCGTATATGATGATTATGATTTAGTTAGGTGGGTTCAATTGACTTGACAGTTGAAACACTGAACATTGTCCAACATTTCTTTTTTTGCTCCTCTTCTTGTTGTTAACAGTAATACTTGTTAATGTTGTCAATTTTTTTCACTATAATAAGTGTGACTATGAATGTTTTCCATTTATATTTTTTTTCTTTTCTTTTCATTTTCTTTCTTTCTCTTTCTTTTCTTTATGTTCACCTTGCTTGTTTAGCTTTGGATATTGGGTTTACCCTCAACCAGCAAGACTTGAGAAAGCGGCTGCCACTGTTAATGGGGGTAAAAGGATAACCAATGCAGTAAATAGGAGAGCTTTGAAAACAGTTAATTGGGTGAAGAGTCCGCATCCAATATTTTTTCTCTCTGAAAACAATACGCTTGGATTGGTTACTGAGGATGTTGATAGAGGTTGAACTGGACGAGAAGGCATTGGTGGTGCATATATAGCGTGGACATAACTATCTGATGGTTTAGATGATTCGGTTGTTGTGGTTGTTGTTACGATGAAAGATTGGCTACTTCCACTGGTACTTAAGCTACTTGAGGTAGAAGCTGCAGCCGCGGCTGCGGAAGATGAAAGGTTGACATCTGATTGATGGCTTGCTGATGTACCTGATGGAGGCCTTGGAGAGTGAATAACTTCACCAAAAATGTGTTGTTGTTTTTGACCAGTAGAAGTATTAGGTGATGATGATATTACATGACCAGTATTGGAACCAATTGGAGTGACTGAGATTACATGCTGAGTAGTTGAAGGAGTTGAGTGAGAAAAGTGTTGTTGTTGTTGCTGGTGTTGTGATTGGACATCGGAGAGTATAAAAGATTGTGCTGGGGTAGGAATTGAACCTAGAGATGAGGATGATGATGAGGATACAGATGGAGATGATGTTATTATGGTTGTCGGAGTTGGTCTAAAAGATCCAAAGCCCCCTGGCCTGGAACCAATTATTGCTATTGTTGGCCGGTTTATCGATGAAACCGGTATTGGGTCCAAAAATTCAATGGGGCTTTTACTAGTCGGATCATTTCCAGCAGTGAATGGAGCAACTGTAGTACCTGAATAAGTATCAGCATCATCCCATTGCCAGCTCACTGTCATATCATTTAAATTGTTGTTATTATTGATATTATTTGAATAGTTGTTTTGAATGGGCCAATTTGTGATACCAGCCAATATTGGATAGATTGGATATTGAGTTGTTGATGCTGGAGATGGTTTGGGTCGACCTGGTCTGTAAGGTACCAAAACATTTCGATGAACAATCGAAGTATTTGGTGGTAAATGAGCTGAACCACCGTGTGGATCAAGAACCGTTAAAATACTCGATTTAACCTCATCGGGTTCCTTGTTTTTTGAAGCAATTACATGAGTCACTTTGAGAGGTGGCTTATTGCCCATTATCATAGCAGGACTGGGGGTTGTAGTGGTTGTCGTTGATCTACGACGATTGGGTGGCAATTTGGTTGGTAATTTTTGAAACATTGAATAGTCATTGTACAATGCTGTGGTCGATGGTGTTGTCCAATAACTGGCATAATCTGATGATAATTTGTTGCGAGTGGTTAAAGTATAAGGAAACTTTCGATGGTTATTGCTCATTAAAATGGGAACTTCATCGTCAAAAAATGGAAATGGTTGACCCGTGGTTCGAGGCATCATTGATAAATCGGGTGAACTTGCACTTGTTACCAGAGAAACATTTGAAGGTTTTTTACGTTTAACAGTACTGGTTGGTCTGAGCCAAGGTCGGGTTTTATTTGCTTTAATTGCTGGTCGATGATTGCTGTAAAGAGTTTCACTTGATGATGATATAATAGACAGTGGATCAACAGTTGTAGTTGATGTGGTTGTGGTTGTTGTCGTTGTTGTTGTTGTTGAAGGTACACTTGCTGGTAAAGAATCACTATTTGATGCACTTGATTCTGAATTATCAGTAAACATTGTATTATCCCAATAATAAACATTACCAGGTTTAGGTCGATTTTTAGGCCTTTGAACCAGTAAAATTGAGTGAGCCAGTTGAGTATTATCATCATTACCGCCAATAACATTTAATGCTGAAGACATTATGCTAGCCTTATTAGGTTTATCCGATGATGATCCATACAAATCATCTGAATCACCTGTTGACCCAGCAGCAAGTGAATTTACTTTAACCTCATTTGATTGTCCATCGCCAATGATTGTACTCTTTTTACCATTTGAATTATGATTACTGAAAAAGTCACTTGATTGTCCACTATTAGTGAAGGTAATACTTCCAACACCGAGACCTTCATCAGTATTTGCATTATTATTATCATTATTATTATCGTTAGTATTTTTATTGTTACTATTGCCGCCATTGCCAACTCCAAGTGATAAGCTGATTTTGGTTATTGCTGGTTTCATATGTTGTTTAACACTATTACTTGAACCACTCTTGGATCCATTAAAAGTGTAACCTGAAATTGGCCCTTTTTTAGACCCTTGACCAATCGATAAAGATCCAGATGAGATTGATGAGGGCGATGAAAACGATTCATAAGATGGTCCTTTGTGCACATTTGAGGTTACTCGGCTTGCAAATGAAATGCGACGTTCATCCTCTTCATAACTTGCGTCTGAAGATGTCCTTTTCTGTGCCTCGTCATTACTTTGTAAATGGTTAAGTTCACCCGAATTCACTAATCTTGATGGAGTTGGTAAAGTTGATGGCGTTAATGAAATATTTTTTACACTTAATTTACTTTGATCACTAGAATGAGAAACCTTCAAAGGTAAATGTGTTGGTAAACCACTTGAATGAGCACTTTTGGTGACAAGAAACTCTTCCCCTGGTATAAACGTTTTATTTGAAGTATCCAAATTTGTATAACCCTCGGAATATAACTTATGATGTTGATGGTGATGTCCTCGGTGATTATGATGATTATGTTGACTGCGGTACAGCTCAAAATCATCTGAAGCTCGACGAGAGTTTTTAAACCGACGATCTTTTGGCCAATCATCACTATGTACTTCTGATTTAGTTATAAAGAAAACGAAGATTTAATGAAATTTTTTTAAATTTCTGAGCTTAACCAGAAAAGGTTAAGTAAATCCAAAGAACCCAAAAATAAACACAACATAATACAAATGGTAATACATATTATTGTAGTACATTACAATTAAAAACACTTGAAAGATAACCATTAATACACAAGCAATTACAGCAACAACAACAAAAGAGTGAAAAATTACCTCATCTGTTCCTAAATAAAAGTATTTCATGATGGAAATGCTTATTTTTTACAGTTTTGTTACCATTTAGCAATTATTGCAAAACCTGAACCTGTGAATTGAGTTGGGTACATTTGAATAATAGGTAAAGTTGGTAAGAGTAATAAGGCGATTCGGATGTTAAAGTCATTAAATCTGATTGAATTGAATCTGAGTGAGATTATCAAATTGTGGTGATATTTTCAAAATAGAGGACATTTTTTTATTATGAAACATTGGGTGTTGTTAGTGTTACTGTTAATGATCTTGTATTTTCATGATTATTACAAAATGTATTTTCATTTGTTGTTGCTGTTTTTTACTTGCTCGTGGCACCGTGAGATATAAGCTCAATGTTGGCAAGTAATTCTTAATATTACTTGAAAATCTGTCAATTTCAGGCTCTCAATTTTTGTTGATTAAACAGAGTAAATTACCATTGTCATTAAGTTAAAATTATATTTACCTGGAGTTAATAGTAAACTTATGCCCAAAAGCATACAATAACCAGTGTTGGAGTTCATCTTTGATAATTGAATGTTTCCTTTGGTGAAAATTTGAAAATAATTTTACTTTGTCTTGTCTAAATTGGAACACACGTTAAAGGTTAACCTAAATGGATTTAATTGTGAAAATATATCAGAGAATTAATTGCCAGGTTAATAGGAATCATGATTTGTTAACAGACTAAACCTAATATTAAAAAGGTAAAGGGTAAGAAGAGACGGAAAGTTGATCATGTTTAAGTAAATCATCGAATGAAAGATTTTTGTTTTAACTTTAATTTCTTCTCGTTTTTCTCTTCAATTATAGTTATTATTAACCTAATCATTGCCTGTATAATAATCTTCAACACTCAAACAATTAACTTTACGAATTATGAATTGATTAATTCAAAAATATAAGAAAGGCAATCATCAGGATAGTTTTCATGATTAGAGGTACAGAAAAATGATTATTGCCTTGAGCAAATTGAATTGGTGTGAAGTTGTGTGTTGAATAGATAATCAAAAAATCACTATTAACATCTCAACTCATCACATAATGACCATTGACCACTAAATATAGCTTACAATCTAGATTAAGAACACAATTTACATCTCAAACTCCAAAAGAAACAAACGATTATGTATTTTATGAACAAATCTACATAAATCTGGACATCCAAATAAAATGAGGATTCAAAAATTAACCTTAATTTGAAACATTAGGTGCATGTTAATTGAATTAATGAAAGTGAATGGTAGTGGTAAATTGAAATTAATTATACTAATAAAAATAATATCAAGTCTAGTCTGCTTTTGTTTCCCACAAAAGCAACAAGATCAAGATCAGAAGAAGAGACCAGAAAAATTATTTTCTTACAGCTTTTAACAAAGAATTGCTTACCGAATATAAAACGAATTAATTCCTATTTGTATCCAAATTGTATCCGAATTATTGGTTATTATTGTCGGTGATGGTGAATATTAGGTTTATAATCCTTAACTTAACGTAACTTAACAAGCATAGATTGATTTAGATTAAACCAACAAATTGAAAATTGAAGACTTATTGATGGAAGGCAAACAATTGGTGACACTAAATGTTAACATGTAATAGATTATATATTGATGTTGACATGTTTATAAGACCACAATTTAAGATGAACTGAAATCTTTTTTGATAATTTCCACATTTCATTAGTTTTCATTCAGTCAAAATTACAAGTTAATATTAAATTTTGTTAAACTTTAATCGTTAACTGTTAAAACTAAAGAGTCAACTGATTTAAAATGAAGATTCAGAAACCTTCAACTTGAAAATCGTTCAACTTTATCAAAGAGACTCCTTCACAACATGACAACGCATGCTCAAAAACTACGTGAAGATCGTAAATTTTGTTGAAAAAACACTTTTTTGATAAAATTAATTGATTTATTAACTGATTCACCTATTTTCTTACTTTTCAATTAAATTAAATTTAAGCTCTAATTAGGTTTGTAATCTATTTCAAGTAACCCAAAAGCCATCATCAATAACGTTATGTTTCCGCTTATCCGATAGCAACTGTAGACAAGCAGACATTGTTACACAATCGTAATTGTTATTCAATCTGTCATACACATCGCAATGAACCATTATGCTAACTAAAAGCCATGTTGGATAATTAAAAATAAAGAAATCGAAAGATTCGCAAAAAATTATAATCAAAAATTAAACTAAAGCTGCAAATTGTAAATCAAAATTGAAATCAATTGCTAACATTATTTTATTTATGTTGCCCTGACATTAACATTACAAAATTGAGTTGAGGGATGAGCTTCCATCTATCGTCTTGTAGATGCACTAACAGATAGACACTCGATTTTTGGCAGATTCTCATTGAGAGTCACAGGCCTAAGAATTTCTTAATAATGTTTATTTTAGTCATTCATTGTTGTAAGTTTATTCTTGTGTTTAACTGAATTTGTCACCAATCAACGAATGTTTGGTGGTAAAAGTGCCGATATTTTTTATTGTGTTACTTCCATCTATTTATTAACATATGAAAGGCAAGATTCTAGAATCGATTTTATTCGGATTTTTTTTCTGTTTTGTTATTTCCTCTTGTTTTGCTTCAATTTTCCCTCTTTTAGACATCAAGGAAGTCGGTTATTCTGAATGTAACCATTTACAAGCTTTGGTTACATTCACGTTTCCTTTAACAAGCTAACCGGTTGCCAATGGAGCAAAGATTAGCATACAATAACGAAGTTAAAGTGACCCGAAATTTTTGTAAGCTACAAAAGCTTGGATCGATATGATAAAATTATTGAATTACTGGATGAATTTTGTCCATTTAATTTTCAAAAATAACATGGCAAGACAATTATTCAATCCATTAAATGAGGGTTTAAAAATTTTGGTCAAGATGGCAAGAAAAAAGCATAAACAAGGTTCATTTGGATGGTTTGTTTTGGTCAGGTAATTATGGTGAATTTTGCTCGTGTAAATATGTGTATTAAGACAATTTTGGTTGGCACAATCAAGTGTTTTAATTTGTGAATGATAGTTGCTAACTTGAACTGTGATTTAAAGAAAAACGTAAATAATTTAATTGCAAAAATTTTATTAGGTTTTTGTTTCTAATGTCGCCCTCTCTATCATCGCTTGGAAATTAAAAATGTCAGTCTCAATTTTCTTGTCGAACAGGACGGTTGCAAAAAATAAGCTCTTCAAACTTTTCTCTCAAACTACTCTTATAACCATATTATTCTACTATTCTTATTACTCTCATCTATTTTTATGCTTTTGTGTCTTCCTCATTTAATATAAACCAAATTAAATTTAGTTCATACTAAACCATTCGCTGTTTTTACTCAGATCTGAACTACCAAAAACCCTACAATGGCTGCTACAAACATTAACATTCTGGTAAGTAAAGAACAGCCAAAAATACCGTACTTACAAAATAAACATACTATCTAAACATAACGTACTATTTTCAAAGAACAATTATATATACCTACAAACACCTTACTTATATCTAAACCTACTTTATCTCCTCACTATTACCAGAAAAATCTAAATGTCCCGGACAAGGATAAATTCTCTGCTGTACTTACATTTGTGAAATCATTCGGTGAAGTGGACGCTTCCAATAAAAGTTCTATACTTACCAGAATCAGAGGAATTCCACTCTTAGACACCTTAGATCGTATGCTCACGGATGAACAATGGCTAGATGAAACATCGGGAGAAGACATTGGTACCTGCTCAAGATTTCTACACGATATTAAAACTTATCTAATCGAGGAAGAAAACATTTTGCTTGATCGTCCTGGCACATCTATGGATGGGATGTCCAATAATCAACAAAGACGCAATACATGCCAGCAATATGCCAAAATGACGGTTCCAAATACCTGGATAAATGTGGAAAACATACAAATCTGGCCATTAATCATACTCAAAACATCGGCTCCGATAAAAAGACCTCTTAACAAGACGAAACCACAAGCAATGCGAAGTATAGTGGAAAAAATATTAGAAGACACAGCTGTTGACGCCGGCGGTATCATCGAAATAGAAGAAGGCCATTCCAGCATAAAGATTAAATGCGACAGTATTGCCAGTAGAACAAGGATCTTACGTTTCCTAACACCAAAACTACCTAGATGGACTCTGACCATACCCCCATTAAGAGATCCACTAATCATGATTAAAAATGTTTCAATTGATCCATCAAAAGAACTGGCTCTGAACAATTGGCTTGCCAAACTTATAGCCAGAAACGGATGGCAAAATCCGGACAACAAGATACGCATCACTTACTGGTTCAAAAAACCAAATGGAATAGACCTACTCCTATCTATACCTCCGGTTATAAGAGAAAAAATTGAACGCAGAAATGGATCAATTAATCTTGGATATCGCCTAGCCCAAGCAATAGATTATTTTGACATCAAATTTTGCACTACATGTTGCTCGTATGGCCACTCAACAACTAAATGTGCTCTCATCTCAAAATGCGGATATTGTTCAGAAGTTCATGGTAAAACCTGTCCTGTTAAAAACGATCCAACTCGTCACCGCTGTCCAAACTGCTTCAAACAAGGAGAAAATGCATTCGATAAAAAATGCCAAGTCTACCAAACCAAATTACGCCATGAAATGGAAAAAACGAACTTTAATTACAAATTCATCATGGCCTGATACTTTACAAATTATAACCTACTCTTCTCTAAAAACAACTGAAAATCTTTTTACTTCACATAATAATGATAACTACTCTCATCTATCCGAAAATACAGAAAACTTTACAACTTACTAATCTTTTTCTCTGCCTTTCAGCCTTCTTAACTTACTGAAATTTCCGTCTTAATCTGTTACCAAAAATTTTTTTTCCAAAGACTTAAGAACTTAAAACTCGTAAAACCTTTGTGCTCAAAGGCTATTTGACTCCTAACTTAATTACAAACTAACTTTAAAGTGTGAACTTTTTTTGAAACTTTTTTGTTTACACAGCCGAACTCTTTTCTTCATAACCAATTAAAATAAAGATCCTATTTCAAAAATAATCTTACTCTCACTACTATCGCTAATTGGATTAAAAATTAACTCCTGAAATAACCGTGAGACCACTTTCCAACTCACTGGGGTTGAAAACTAAAAATTTACCAAATAGACTTCTACTCATCTCTCACACTAACATGAAACATCAGAAGTATCACAAGATCAACCACTCATTAGTAATTTGAACTTCCAACAAGCCCCATCTCATTTCCAAACTACCCTGAAAAAGTGAATATGCTATCCAGTCGATTCCAAGAAAACACCCACTCAAAAATTTTACGTGAACTCCAATCAAACAGACTGAACTGGTATCCCATCAAAGGTGTCAAACCATTATATTACATCATTCTTAAACTTCGTGTCACAGCTAACCCTTTCATAGACAATAACGAAATCTCCAACCGTGTTCAACTCATCACTAATCTCATTGACCGTCCTCTTCGAAAAATCAGAGAGATTAAACGAAGAGGTTTTACAATAACTTTTTACTTCAATACGGAACAATTTCAACTAGAATTCCTTGAAGCCATACGGGAAAATCAAACAGTGGAAATCAAAAAAGTATTCAAACCTGTCAACCCACTAATCAAGATCAGTGTACCGAGAACCATTAACGATTATACCAAGGAGGACCTAACCACCCTGATCACATCACAGAACAATTGGACTGCCGACACCAACACAAAAGTACTCCATATACGAAATCAAGAAAATCGTAAAACAATACTAATAGTCCAACTGAGTCCTGAAAATCGCATCAAATTATCTGACGCTGACTTCTACGTAAACTTATTTCTACACTCATCTCAAGCCTGTGATCTTCTACTAAGCATCATCTGTGAGAATTGCTGGCAATTCGGCCACTTTTATAATAATTGTAACAATCAAACTAAATGCAAAAACTGCTCTGGTCACCACGACCACCGTATTTGTGAGGAACAAAACATACAAATAACGTGTGCCTCCTGTTCATCAAACAACTCTAACCACCAAACCGCAACCTGGGACTGTCCCAAACTCGAACGATATGTCAGAAGAGTCACGGCAAGAATCAACCTCGGTACAGAATGGCTTAACCTGTCCCCAGACTTCCCTCTGGACTTTGGAGTTCTTCCACCTCAACACCCACAAGTCGATAGACAAGACTAGATTCATGATCTCGGAAACTCTAAAGGCAAAACAACGTGTGAGTTCAATTGTTGAAGCGAGCCGATACTCATCCCTTACCTTTATTGAATCACCAAATATCATTGTCAATGATCAAAGCATTCTAGTTGTCTCATCGGACCTCAAAATTGTCGCCTACGACACCTCAAATCCCAACCTAATTGTTGCCCTCATATCCAAAGGCAAAAAAGCAATGATTATATGCTGTGTTTATCTCAATCCCAATAATGTTAAAAAACTTATGCAAGTATTACTTAACACATTATCAAAATACAAGCATCTTCCATTCATCTGTGCTGGAGATGTTAACTGCGAACATCCACTTTGGTCTGTCAAACGACACACCACTCCGTCATCCAAACTACTAGCTGAATTCATAATTAACAACTCACTAACCATCTTCAATAAACCGGCAGATGACTCTAATTTTACATTTAAAAGAGGAGATTGTGTTTCTTGGCTGGACTTGATTTTTGGGAACGTAGACTACTGGGGATTTGATCTCTCGGATGAACCCATCTCTGACCACAAAATGTTAAAAGTATCAGTAAAACTCTCAGACATCTTCTCCCAGATCCTTATCAATAATCACGCATACAGAAAGCGTTCTCTAGATAAAAATCTTACATGGAAAATAGTAGAAAACTTCACCACAAACTATGAGATAGACAAAACATTCGATAGCCTACTTCAACTAAACAAGCAGAGTAAAAGAATTAACCTTAACTCACACACAAACAACAGCAGAATCAGAAAACTTAGAAAACGTATAAAGAGCTTAAACAGAAACAATAAACAAAATTTCTCCCCTGAAATTAATGAGATGATAAAAGATATGAAAAGTAGGGAACAGGAACTCAGAAAAATCTCAAAGAGAAACTTCATCAGTTACATTGCTCAGAATCCGGGAGATCAGAAACTCATTTGGTCTGCAATGAACAAAATACTGAAACCTACAAACACCCTTACTCCTCTACTCGCCCCAAACTCCTCAAAGATCGAGACGCTCAGACCCTTTGCCTTCAAAAAACCACAACATACTTACACTTCGAGTATTGAGAGCAACTACCTAACAGAAGAAGAAATCAACAAAATTGAAAACCTAAGATTCAACAAACAATCTGGTTTTGCTGATAATTTCACCCTCAGAGATTGGCAACGCCTCTGGGAACTCCATAAAGACAAAATCATTGAGATGATCAAAAAGACATTCGAACTGGGCTACATCCCTCAGTCAATTAAGATTTATGGCGCTCATTTGATACCCAAACCAAATGGCAAATTCAGAGTAATCCGTATTTCCAATTTCTTACTCAGGATTTATGACACTATCATAGTTGATAGAATCAAAGCAGTTCTTGACAAAGTTATAATAAAGCGAACTCAATTCGCTTACCAAAAAGATCTCTCAATCTTCGACCTTCACATCATACTCTCGGAATCATGGGACACCTCAAAAACCATCATATGCACTGACATCAACCAAGCCTTCGACAAAGTTAAAGTAGAATGTGCCCTCGATGAGCTAAGAAAACATCTCTCCAACTCCGACATACAACTCATCAGACAATTTACTTATGGACGTTGGCTCAAAACAAGAATTGAAAATGACTTCAAATATAAGCCTGACCCTGATGGAGTCCCACAAGGCTCCAAATCAGGACCGCTATTGTTCATCTGCGCCCTCAACAAAATTATCAGAAACGTCAAACAGAAAAATCTCCAAATTCTCGCATATGCCGACGACTTGTTTATTTTAACAAAAAACAATGAAACTGAAAGAGCCATTAGATTTGTGGAAGCTGAATTAACAAAAGCGAACCTTACACTCAATCGTGAGAAAACTAAGTTTTACTCTGAAAAAGAGATGAAAGGCGAACCATTCAAAATAGTGGGAATATACTACAACCTAAAACCCTCAATTGACAATATCGATACGGAGATAGAAAATAACATCAGAATAATCAACATGAACCGACAAACGCTCACCAAACTTCCTACCAACATTTATATCAAAATCATAAACGCATACATCTCCTCACTACTCAACACATTACCACCCGCTTTTTTCCTAGAATGTCAACAGTATGAAGACATAATAATAAAACTCTACCTGAGAGTCCAATCGTGCCTAAAAGACATCACCTGCTGCCCTAACCGCTTATCATACTGGACTCCTAGACTTATTTACCACTTCGTAGACCCTGTTCAAATATGGCTAGACCAAGTCATCACAGCCATACTTAGAACCTCATACAGATTCGACCGATGGCCAATACTCAAGATGTTTCAACCTCTCCCACTTTTTCCCAAAAAACCGTGCATGGACTATTTCTATAAACATAGAGTTTCAAGACCTGAACTACCACAAGTCGGTTATAAGCTGAAAGACGACCTCATACAAATTATACACCACAAAGGCTCTTCATATTACAAGATCCAAAACCCAGAAAATGTAGTATCCAACCATCTCCTAGCCATATACATACTAATGACCCTCACCAAAAACAAACCATCTACATACGTGGTACCAGACGCTCTCGTAAAATACAAAAACTCGCAAACCGCTGATCACGTAGCGTCCATACTAAACAAGAATGAAACCAAGATGCTGTGGCTAAGCTGCTCAGATACCAAAAACATTTCCAAACCTAAACCCTCAGATAAAATAACAACTGTTAAACAAAACATAGTTACCCGTACAGATTTCAAAAACAAATTCAAACAAACCCTGGAACAATTCGCAAAAAATATGTACCTGACCAGCAACTCTCACACTCTAAATTTTTTCAACTTTGAAAACCAAGTACAACACCGTGGAAGAATCGGAGACCACTTTATACGAAAAGTACTACTCCTCATAAATGACTTCTTGATTAAATGCTCACGCCGAGCTTTCTCAAAAGATAAAGACAAAAACTCAACCCACTACCTGACCGAATGTGGATCCACAAGACACGTATGGGAAAACCTACACTTTGGCTGGACCTTTGACGGTAACAGAAAGCGTGACGAGGAACGGATTCGTGCCTTAGCAGAAATCATAACAATACTGGAAATGAAACTTACAAAAAACAAAAACAACACAGACAAACCTTGAAATTACACTTCCCCTCTCACCCAAATATCTAAACAATAACAAATTTTCCTTAAAGAAAACACACACCCACACCAAATAACAATTCCTTTCAAATTTACCCATTGCCAAAACAAAAAACAAAAATAAAACACCTGTAAAACAAAAGAAACATATGTAAACCACAAAAAACCAAGAAAAAACAAACCTCAGAGAAAAGTTCATACCAAAAAACCATTAACCCAAGCTGGGTCCTGCACTCAGATAGTCTATAAAAGACTAACTACAGCCAGTAAACTGTAGTGGGCATGTGTGAATACATGGTATCTTACTCAGATATTCAATAAACATTTCTTCCCCCTTACATGTCTGCTTATGCTTCTTTTTCTTTCAAATGTTGGATGGATGTTTGTATGAATTTCTTCTTCTTAACTGCTAACACTGTTAGTGTTTATTTCTTTCTTTATTATGTTTGTCGTACAATTAAAGACCAAAATTTAACCATTGGTGATTTGTTAGTATTGACTCGTTCTCTTGGTACAGGATCTAAGCCTGGAAAATTGTGTAGTACCAAGTAGAGAAGAATTGATTTATATTTTCATCATCAGTTTCTTCCTTCTTTCTATCTACCTTTCTTTTTATCTTTCTATTTTTTCAGTAATTTTTCTGTAATTTCTCGTTTTTGTCTTTCTTTACCTTTTTTAGTTTGTCTTCATCTCCCTCTTTTTTTCTTCAGTGTTTATAATGGCTTCTTCCCCATCACCATCATATTTAATGTATGGTGACCCCGAACCACCATTTTTGGCCATTGGTACCGATGTTTCTGCCAAGTATAAAGGAGCCTTTTGTGAAGCTAAAATTAAGAAAGTTACTCGACTAGTTAAGTGTCGTGTTACCTTTAAAAATAACTGTGGCTCTGTTATGGTCACTGATGATAATATCAAAGGTCTTCTTCGTGTTGGTGCCCATATTGAAGCAAAACATCCCGACAAAAATAAGTATTTGGAAGGCATCATAAATAAAATAATTGATGCTTCTCAATATACTGTTGTCTTTGATGATGGTGATGAGATAACATTAAGAAGGACGAGTCTGTGTCTTAAATCCGGTAAACATTTTGCTGAATCTGAGTCACTGGACCACCTGCCATTGACAAACCCTGAACATTTTGGCAACCCTGTTAAATTGGGGGTTAAGCGAGGAAGACAAAGACGTCGTCGTAAAGCAATTTCTTCGGCAGCGTCTAATTCATCTACTATATCAGACGCTGAGAGCGATGATTCTGCTGAAATCGATGAAATTCCCGATAAGAAAGAAGAATCCATAAAGGAGGAAACTAATGAGTCGCAAGCTGATATCGATGATTGTGACAAGAAATCAAACGGTAATTCAGTTAATGGGTCAGTTTCTTCATCCACAGCTACCACAGTCACTACTTCTTTGACAAAGAGAGGTAAAAGAAGAGGAAAATCAGGTCGAAAGAAAATTAATAAAACAGGTACTGACGACGAGGATGATGGAGGTGATATTGGTGATAAAAATTTCGGAGGTAATATGGACTCAGAAACAGAGTCAGAGACTGAATTCGACGTTAAGACCCCAACCATTTCTAAAGATGTTGTTGTTGAAGTGGACAATCGTGTAAGAGTCAAATATGGTAAAGGAAAAGCGGTCAAAATTTACGAAGCTAAAGTATTAAAAACTGATAATGATCCTGATCTTAACAAGAGAAGGTATTTTGTTCACTATACTGGCTGGAACGTTCGTTATGATGAATGGATAAAAAGGACCAGGATTGTTGATGTTGTAAGAGACAAAGTGACTAAGCGTAGAGGTTCCAAGATGAGAAAAGGTATATCGATTGGTGAAGAAAGCCCATTAAACATGAAAGATGAATCCGAAGATGCTCCTAAAGAGTACCATAAAGAGAAAATGGAATCAAAAGAATCAAAAAATAAAACCGGAGTAGTTGCAAAGAGAGGAAGACCTTCATCATCTTCTATTGATAAATTGAATGATTCAAAAGATTCGTCTTTCAGAAAGAAGATGAAGGGTGTTAAACGAAAGTCTAAAGGAGAGCCTAATGTGTCTCGTGAATCAACTAATCATCTGGACGAAGATGCATCGAGTCAAACTAAAGTGAAAATTGAAGATGTAGATGATGCAAATGAAAGTGGTAATAGGTCAAGTGATGAAACAAAACCTGATGAACTGCATGAAGAGGCTAAGGATAAAAGTGCTGATACTGAAATTGACGAGTGTGAAAAATCAAAACTTGATGATGACTGTGCTGTTGAAGTGAATATTGTTGATGATAAATGTGAGACAGAAGGAGAATCCATAATTGAACCCGTTGAAATATCTGAATCAATAGTACCAACAACCATCAAAGAAGAAAGCTCACTAGTTGATGATCAACCAGAACATTTAAGTAAAATACAAATCACAGAGGATTTATTAACTTGTGATGAAAATCTTGCTAAATCACCAATTAGACCAGAGTCACCGGAAAGAGATGTTTCAACAGAGAATATAAACGTGTCCAGGGAAGAAGAAAGTAAACTTGATCCTTCATTCAATTTCAGTACAACGACGGATGATGCAGTGTCAAACAATGAAGACGAAGAAAAGCCAACCAAACCTATTGTCAATAAGCGCAAGCAACCAATCAAACAGCTGAATAAGAAAGAAAAAGACCGCAAAAAAAGTAAACCAGCCGATAGTCTTGATACAGACAACAAAGAAAAGTTAGATGGTAATATTTTAATAAAGAAGAGAAAGTTCAATATTAAAAAGTCGGAAGAATCTCCAGTTAATGATGACTCAAAGAAGCCTTTGAAATTTGGAAAGAAAAAGCGTAAATCACCATTACCTGAAAGTGAAGAAGCTGAAAAGGATGATAGTCCAGAAAACCCTTCAGCTGATCCTGAGTTCGACACCAAAGGTAAAAAGAGGAAAAGATCTCTTAATAAAGTTAAGCAATCAATCAATGAACCTCCAGTGAAAAACGTTCCCTCGCCAGTAGGCGATGGTAAAGTGAGAGAAGGCCATGCACCTAAGAAAAGGTTGAAAAAGGATGCTGAAGAATTGAAAAGGAAAGAAATTGATCGGGGAAAAGTTGAGAAAGAACGAGAAGTTAAAGAAGACTTCGAAGATGACTTAGAAAAGGAAAGTGAAACGGAAAAAGTTAAAGTTAAAGAGGATGAAAGAAAAGAAACAGACCAAGATGATGAAGAAAACCAAGAAATTGCGAGCCTTTTTGACGCTAAATCATCAACTGTGCCTGAAGAAATAAGTTCAACATTCGCTGTTTCTATTGAAAATATTCAAGAAGTAGGCGGGTCATTTTTATTGTGTAAAGAAGAGGTGCCTGCAAGTCCTCCCGGTCATCAACAAGATGCAATCGACACCATTACAAATTCTGTGCCAGTACCGAGTGTTTCAATTCCTGAGACTTCGACCATCTCATCATGCTTGTCATCAACTCAACCATCTTCTGCTCATCCTGTATGTCACTCATCATCATCTTCATCCTCATCTTCGTCCTCATCTTCATCTTCCTCTTCGTCTTCATCTTCATCTTCGTCATCATCTACAGCCACTTCATCGTCCCAACCTAATCTATTACCACAGTTAAAAGATAAAAATAATGCTGACCCAGAGCCAATTCCACCTCATCAAGTTAATAATCGTGATAACAATCAACTATCCCCACCGACAACTCCTGAAAGCCTTAAAAGTGGAACTCTTCCTCCATCATCACCTCCACCTCATGAAAGAGAAACAAGTGACAATGAAAAAAACCAAAGCCGCATTCAAAATGATCAGCAATTCTCATCTGATTTGGAAGTATCCAAGACAGCCCTTGCCTCGGCTATCAGTGCATTAGACTCTTTAGCTACTGCAGCATCCGGGGCTCCTCCTGCTATCATCAAAGACTGTAACTTATCATCTCCTACACAAAATACATCTGAAGATTCGTGCTCAAGAAATAGTGTCAATGACTCAAACAAAACTGACAAAATGATCACAATCCATCCAATAATATCACCTAAAAAGAGAAGAGGACGAGTACGTACCTCATCTACCTCAGAGACAAAGGAGAGTAAGCCAAATTATCAAACGGTCGGATGTAAAACACGAGGTTCTACGGGTCGAAAAACTCGCCAATATGGAGAATCTTCGAATGAACCTTTCATCACCTCGGACCCATTAAGTGATTCTATGTCAACTGCATTTCCATCCCTTTCTCTTTCCAATTACAGTCCCAATGCTTTCGTGTACAGTGTTAATCCTACCTCTAAGTATAATTACTGCACACCTATTGACGTAAATCTCGAAGGGGAGAAGCGAATTCAAATATTGCAAGAAAGGCTACAAGATCTTCGGAAAACTTATTTTAACATTAAGGCAGAAGTTGCATCTATTGAAAGGAGAAGGAAAAAGGCAAAAAAGAAGGATAAAGACTCATCTTCACCTATCTCACCAACTTCCTCATCTCTATCTCAGTCACAAGAAACAACAACTCGTAATCATCTCAAAGATCATTCATCTAATGAGATAATGAATGAAACTACGGTACAAGCACAAAGTTGTTCAGCGTAAATTTTATCTCAAGTAGTGACAAAGGAAACGAAATGAAAAAAAGAGTTGCAACAAGAACACGCAAAAACGCATAGACAATAAAAACCAGAGAAGAAGCTGGATTACAAACTTGAACAAATTAATTAACTTTAATAGATTTATTTATATATGCTTATCAATCTCATATTTCTCCTCGTCATCAATAACCTTACCCTTCTTCTTTATCTTCTTAAAGTGTCATTAAAATATCAATAATATAAGAGTAAAGAACAATTCTTTTTTTTCTCGCCTTCGAAAGTCTATCATTAAGAATTCTCATGTCCATTTGAAATTTTTCTCCCCAATCTCTTGTAAGCATGAACATTTTCACTTTTTTGATCTTTAATGTCAAATCTTCAAGTTGATTCCAGTTAAGATGATACCTTTAAGATACCTTTACAATATCAAGCCCAAGTCAAAATTAAATAGAAGAGTTGATTGACAATTTTCCTGCATCTAATCCTTTAAAATATTTACATTTAGTTCTTCAATTTTGCCAATTTTGTTCAACTTTGTTTAATACTCAAATGTTCTAATTTTTATCGTTTTATCGAATGTCATTGCACTAAAAAATTGTCTATTAAATTTGACCAAAATTTTCAACCCTTTTACAACTTGAAGTCCTTCCAATCTCATGTAGCAATGTTACACAATTTCACCTCATGAGTTAAATAATAAAATTAATAAACTACAAATAAATATGCAATCTTATTGCATGATCATACTTTCCTTATAACAGTTTGTCAAATAGATTTGAAGGTAAGAAATACTCAAGACTTGACTGGGAAAAATACTTTGCTGTATTCATAAAAGGTTAAAGATTGAGTTAAATATGGAAAGAGAGAATTAAATGTTCACAATTAAATACAATGAAAAACACTTGGATAAAATGAGCATGAAGATTTCATGATGAAGTACAAAACTCAGTTATGATAACTGTACAAGATAAGCATCTATAAAACAGCAATCATATGTTTTATTTAGGCGCGCTAATTCAAATTTTTTGAGGTTGAAAATTAAATTATTAACAATAGTGCTGTAATTTAGTTTTTTTGAATAATTAATAAGACGAATTGTTGGGCTAGATACTAGATGATAGGATAAGAATTAAAAATGCTGTTTTCTAAACAAAATCAAGCTTTTATTGATCATCAATAGGTTACATAATTTTGTTCAACTATGTTAGAAATACATGTATTCAATGACAGATTCCCTTAAAAACTCATTTAAACATATCATTTTTAAAATCAAGATAAAATCATTGATCTTGAAGCTGATGGGAGTGACTCGCTCGAAGGTTTTTTGCTTTGCCATTCGAATGCTGGTGGTATTGGATCTGTTTCAGTGCATTTATGTTAGAAAAACTCAATGACAGATTCCCTAAGAAGCTCATTCAAACATATTCAGTTTTTCCAAATCAAGACGAAATCAGTGATGTCGTTGTCCAGCCATATAACTCTTTGTTAACTCTTAAACGACTAGCATTAAATGCTGATTGTGTCGTTGTTTTAGATAACACGGCTCTCAACAGAATAGCTGTGGAAAGATTGAAGCTTACTAATCCTTCATTTGGTCAAATAAACTCTCTTGTAAGTACCCATCATCTTTTAAGATTGAAAATCTAATTTCTTCATTTTTTCTGTTTTGTTTTATCGCAGGTTTCAACTATTATGTCTGTCAGTACCGCTACTTTAAGATACCCAAGCTACATGAACAATGATCTGATTGGTTTAATAGCACCTCTCATTCCTACACCACGACTTCATTTTCTGATGACAGGATATACACCTTTGACAACAGATCAAGAAGCGACAAATATTCGTAAAACAACTGTGCTGGATGTGATGAGGAGATTACTTCAACCATCAAATATGATGGTTTCAACAGCTATGCATGATAAGAATCAGGGCCATTGTTACATCTCTATTTTGAATATTATTCAAGGAGAAGTTGATCCTACTCAAGTGCATAAAAGTCTACAGAGGACAAGAGAAAGAAAATTGGCTCAATTTGTGCCATGGGGACCTGCTGGTGTACAAGTAGCCCTGTCTAAAAAATCTCCTTACATACAAACTTCTCATCGAGTTTCAGGTTTGATGCTCAACAATCTTTAATCTTCGACCAATCATCAGTATTCATAATAGGCTATAACATAAATATGCCCGAGTATCGAAGAAAATCTGAGATACTATAGTATATCAACAATTTATATCGACGATTATGAGTTCCAGTTCTCTAACTCTAGCACTGATTTATTGTACAGAAACAGAAAATTTTATTTCCCAAAATAAGTGCATTTACTGGTTGATCACCAAAATTTACATCAGTAAAATGAGTTTTATGACAAAATCTGCTTCCATTATTGAACAAAGTGCGATTGAAGTTTCAACTTTTCCCTCGATTTTCTCGAAAATTTCCGATCGCAGGAATTTTTAATGGCACTAATGTACTCAGTTTTTTACTCCTTAAACCCACAAAGTCGCAACTCTTGACTCAAATGTACAGTGATTACACACTTATTTTTACAAAAGTAAGAGCGCCATCTACAACACTACCAATACTACCGATGGTAACGATCGTTTTAGCATTGGTAGTGTTGTAGATGGCGCTTATTTTTTGTAAAAATAAGTGTGTAATCACTGTACGAGTTTTGTGACACTATTTTATAAAGTTTAAACAGATTAAAATGACGCGCCATACTTGCAGGGTAAATAAACAATCTACTACTTATCCAAGGATTAGAATCTTATCAGATATATTTTTGTACGAATTGCTTTAACGATGATTACAATTTTAATGTTTTGTTTTCTTTAAGTTGCTTATTTTATTTCATCTTATACTCCATCAATTTTAATTATTTTTTTAATTTGTGCCGTTAATTGCCAACATGGCGAATTTAATCAAAAACCAAGTCTTCAAACATCTTGCTAAGTAAGCTATATAGACAAAAAATATAAACAATATGTGTCAGGCTGAAGCCAGTATTAAAGATTTACCTCTTATCAAGTTTTATTTTGCCAACATGTTGGCTAATTTTAATAGTTAATGTTTTGATTTCACCGTTTTCAATTCTGGGCTTAAGCATTCCACATTTTCGCCGTGGTTTATAGTATAATTTTCAAAATAATCTGTGACGTAATCTGCTGGTTCTAATAAGTGATCTAATTTTTATTTCAGGTATTTTAAAAACTTGTCAACTGATAGTTTCAAATTGAGTGCAATGAAAGGATTTTGTGAACTCCATAATCTTGAATTGAACGAAGATGTATTAATGGATCTATTAGAACTGCCTGTTTGGTTAAACATAACCAAAGCAACTTGCAGTCATGCAGCTATCAAGGTAAATAGTCGGTGAATTTTGGTCATTGCTTCAATATATTTATCCTTTATTTTTTTATATATATCTCTCCATTACCTTTTTATTTTGAATAGATTCCCTGGTCCAAGATGCCCTGGGTACCAATATGTTTAGGCTTGGATGAAGTACATGTTGAAGTGGAAATCACGGAAAACTTCCGAACCTTCAAAAACCAAACCTCTTCTAGTCAAACGTAATTACTATTTAATCTAAATAATGATTGAGCGTCATTTAACTTAATTCTTATTTTGAAAGTGAAAGGGAAAATTTTTAATTCAAAATCTTGGTATTCAGCGTGTAGTTATTTTTTAGAAAAATCAAGATTAATGACCTCCGGGCCTCTAATTCACTTCTGTTTACTCAGTTTCAAAAGAGCATTTCAATATTTGACACTTTTCCTCCACTTGACTGGTTCTACTTTCTCTCCTCTCTTTTTTGTTTCATTAGTAATCATAAAAATTTTCATGTTTCATATCTGACACTTTTGATTACTATCTTTAACGTCATCTCCATTCGATTGTTAAATAGACTGATTACCTTTCATATACTCGCTGTTGTACTTAGTAAACACCTTTTATATTGCGTTCTTATTCTTTTCCAGCACATCTAAATATGGTATCATATCAAGAACAATTGATGGTATTCGCATCACTATAAGCTCAGTTGTTGTCAAACTTACCTCACCTTTCATCAGTGCTTCTTTCCAGTTGTTCCAATTAGAGGTTGAAAGTCGCTCTCCCAATTGGAAACCTGTCTCTGATCTTAGTACGACTACCTTTAAGGATAAGAAGAAGGGTTTAGTAATCAACTTTAAACACATTGAATGGCAAACTATGAAATTCGAAGCTAAAACAGAATCAACGACTTCTTCAGCCCCTTTAAAGCTAATCTGTCAAGGCTCTTGTCGTGTTATGATTAAGAAAAGGATTTCCGATTGTCAAGTTGTGGGTGCTCGAATTGTTTTGATGTTCAATGATCTTCTATGGGTATTAACGGATGCAATGCTAGTCTCGGCTTTTCATTTTGTCACTCACATAAATGGACTCATCAAGAGATCTCCAATCACTAAAAAAGTCATCGAAGAACCTAATAACGTATCTACTAAACCTACCAAAGTAAAGCTGTCAGCTAATAATGTTGAAGTTGAAAAATATTTAGCCGCTAGTAAATTGTTTTCTTTTGAAACGTCGTACCATTTAGTTATTAACTGTCTTCAAGTTCAACTATGCGACGATCTTGATCCTGAACATGGCCGAAGCTCTTTCCCTTCTCTGAGAGATGGAGGTACATTACACGTTGTTGTTAATAAATTTATATTAGATATTTATCCTTACCAAAAAGCCTTAGGAAGCCGTGACAATTGGCTTAAATATGGCGACCCATCAGCAAATCGAGATAATTGGATAAAATCTCACCTTTTTGAATTTGCTGATAGCATTTCCAATGGTTTTCCAAAAGGATCTGCTAGCCAACGTTTATCTGATCTATTCTCTTCAGTTATTTTACTCAGAATTGGTGATTATTCTGTTAAATGTGTTTCTACGGCGGCTTCACGTTCAGGGGGTCGAAAGTTCGGCGCTGATTCAGATGAACGTAAATTACTCTCTACTGGCAAATTTCCTCGTGATATTCCTGCATTTTACTTGGAGTTCAACCAATTTTACTATTATGAATATGGATCGGTTCGTGTTGCCCGGACTCGACCAGTACCAGATCCAGTTTTATTTGCAAATGTTGCTCCCGTTAAAATTTTATTCGATGCGCCTTCATTAATCTGGCTTAACGCCTTACAAAGTAATTTGCACAAGCCTCTAATGGAATTGAAACAGATCATACCTCGTAGTGAGACGAATGTAACTATTTTCTCGCGTTTTGAAATACTAATGCCAACAATTATCGTTGATTTGGGTATACCATCAACGGATGCCTTTCAATCAAGTACCTATAATATTGAATCAATACAAATAAATTGCTCTCGTGCTGTTATCACCAATTCAATCAAGGAGCCAACATATTTAGATCGTTTAAATGATTCATTGGTTTCTATGGGAAGCTGTTCATTATTTATTGAGAGAGATAAATTTCCTTGGATTGAAGGTGTTCCTTCTAGACCTATTTCAAGTGGATTTTTAAAACTAATGGAATCAGAACGTTTAAAATATCATAATCAGATATGGGTCATCGATTGTGATCCCGTTTGGTGTGACTTTATTGAGAAGGAATCAAGCGGGCGAACTATACCACTAGTTGATCCTTTCCAAATAACTGTTTGGTCTTACCTCTCTTCTAATTTATTCGATGATGAAGCTGCCAATAAAAAGCCTGATATTGAAGTTGATTTACATAATCCTGAGTCTGATGTAAATATCGTTTGTTGCATTCCTACGCCAATTAAGATTGTTTTGGACCATGAAGGCTATCTCTTTTTATCACGAATTTTGGAAAAATTTGACCAATTTAACGAGTATTTAACAAATGATTCTAGAAGAATTGAAGATTACCATGGAATAAAATCTTCTGGTTCACCAAGAATCTCTCTGATCTCACTTTTAAAGAATATTATGATTGAAGTTTTACTAGACAAACAAGAGATCATTAAAAACAAATCTGGATCATCGTCTATTGAAAGTGATCCTTCATCACCAATCAAAAGCTCAAATCCATCATTTTCAAACCATAATTTTGATTCTATTAAACATTCATCAGATCCTCTTACATGTGATTTACCAGAGGCATCACTCGATCGAGCAGAATCAACCACTGACAGATCAAGCTCTGGTTATCGATCTTATTCCATTCGTGGTAAGTAAACCTTGAGCTTAAAAAATCAAATATCAAATATTAAAACGGTTGAAGTTTATAACTTATATTGTAATTTTCTTGTTTCAGATTCTGATCTTAGTATGAATGTGAGTGATTCTGGTTTTGAAATTCTGTCTGATATTTCTCCTATCGATGACGATGATCGTTCCATTCGAAGTGATCTTTCCGATAGTCTTATTGGAACAGTGAATTTAGACAATATTACTCTTGATGATGAAGTTTACTTTACAAACTCCGGAGCTGCGTCCCGAATTGTTGAAGAAGCCATGGAAGCCACCGAAGCAGCTTTGAGTAATGACTCAGGTGATTTTATGAACCAGCCTAAAAGAGAAATTGTTTCATTATCTTTGGTTAAACTTCATCTGGATACTCTTGCGGTCGTTAAACAAGCTTATGGCTTCAAATCTTCTTTACTTGCACTTATTTCTGGCGTGAAATTGAATGAACTGCTGAAAATTTCTTATGAGGAGTACAAAAAGCTAGAAGAAAACCTTAAAGGTCATCGAATTGACGGAGATCAAAATTGTGATGATAATGATAAGACTGTCCCAAAATTAACTGTACGCCTTGATAGTATTCTAAATGAAAGCCAAAAAAATGATTTATGCTCTGTCAATATACAAAATCTGAAGCAAACTCTAAATAATGAGACTTTACTACAAGTTTTAGATTTTTTTAATGACCCTGATGCTACCCAGATTCTCCCAATTCTTATATACCTGCAAGATGTCGTCTTTAAATTGATAGACAGCTCTCTGAAAACACCTCCATTAGTTGTGAATCTCAACGAAACTATAGTCCAACGGTCCAAAGACAATTATATTCAGATTTTACCTTCTAAATCCGAGGGTAAGTTTCATCTTATATTTCTGACAATTAACATTTATACTGATATTTTCCCTTTTTATCTTTTGTATCCAGGAGGAGCACAATTGGTTAGATCAGGTCAGACTCTACTTAACTCGAGTATAAACAAATCTGGAACTGAATTTTCTGATACTAAACTATCTGATATGGATGGCAATAACTCACTATTAGACCAAGTCATCATGGAAAATAAAAGACTGAAAAAGGAGCTATCTGACTTAAAAGAGCAAAATCTTGCGTTGAAAAATATTTTGGATACCAACAGGGATAAATGATGAAGTTTTATTTGGTTTCTCTTGTCTGATAATATTTACAATTGTTAACTATGTTCAAAACATCTGTTAATCTCTGTTTAAAAGAGGAAAAGGTCTTAATAAAGTTAAGCAATCAATCAATGAGCGTCCAGTGAAGAATGTTCACTCGTCAGTAGCCGATGGTAAATTGAGAGAAGACCATACACCTGAGAAAAAGTTGAAAAAGGATGCTGAAGAATTCTACAAGATCTTCACCTATCTCACCAACTTCCTCATCTCTATCTTGTCAGTCACAAGAAACAACAACTCGTAATCATCTCAAAGATCATTCATCTAATGAGATAATGAATGAAACTACGGTACAAGCACAAAGTTGTTCAGCGTAAATTTTATCTCAGGTAGTGACAAAGGAAACGAAATGAAAAAAGAGTTGCAACAAGAACACGCAAAACGCATAGACAATAAAAACCAGAGAAGAAGCTGGATTACAAACTTGAACAAATTAATTAACTTTAATAGATTTATTTATATATGCTTATCCATCTCATATTTCTCCTCGTCATCAATAACCTTCCCTTCTTCTTTATCTTCTTAAAGTGTCATTAAAATATCAATAATATAAGAGTAAAAGAACAATTCTTTTTTTTCTCGCCTTCGAAAGTCTATCATTAATCGTTCTATCGATTATCGTTGCACCACAAAATTTTCAACCCTTTCAAAGCTTGAAGTCCTTCCAATCTAATGTTGCAATCTTACACAATTTTAAAATCAATTGGATTAGATGAGCATGAAGATTTGATGTTGAAGTACAGAACGCATTTATGATAACCAAAAACTTATACTCTTTGATGATAACTGTATCTATAAAACAGCAGTCATATGTTTTATTTAGGCGCGCTAATTCAATTTTTCCTCATGTTTAAAATTAAATTAATAAGAATCATGCTGTAATTTAGTTTTTTTACAATAATTAATGAGAAGAATTTTTAGACTAGATAGTAGTTAATAGGATAAGCATTAAAAATGCTATTTTCTAAACAAACTTAAGCTTATGTTGATTATTATCTATTCATAGGTTGCATAATAACAGAATAAAAAAGCATGGTTGATAAATCTTATATCGCTCGCATTTTTCATCATGTTCCATCTGTTTTTGCTGCGTCTTTGTTAATTAAGTTATTTAGTTAAATTTGTGATATTTAGTTTTTTAAAGATAAAGATTGTTTCTAATTCGCTGCTAGAGTGGTTTTTAAAACAAAATTCAAAACAAAGTTTAACAAGAGACTACGAATCAATATCTTCAAAATCTACGTTAAGTCTGATCTATGCTTTCGAGGCTTACCATTATTAATTTTTGTCTACCTTGGTTAAATATTTACATACGTAAGTTAATTTTAATATTTTTTTGCGAAATCTGTTCAACAATCACAGCAAAATGTTAGTGTACACTAATTTGATTACTTCTCTTTTTCAGTCTCTTTTACATCCCCCTTTGAGACTTTTTTAATTTAACTATTGCTTATAGTTGTATGACAAGTGTACAGTAAATCAAATTGGGGGAGACTACTGCTTAATGTGATTTGATTGATTCTTTCCAAAACTGAGGGAGTCTAAGATGACTGGAAAAATGGCATTAAAAAACAAGAAAAAAAATAAACAAAAGTCTTTAAGATCTAATAGAGGAGATTCAGTTACTTTTTCTGGTCGATGTAAATCACTTAAAATGGAAGATGATGTTGAATTTATTGAGTTAAACCCTTGTATTACTGAGTCTCGTGAAGCTATTAGACAACTATATCAAGGTGCTGTTATTGCTTCTCCCGCTCCATCTTCTTGCACCTTTGTTTCTCCTGATTCGGAATATGGTGTAGATCTTGAAAACCATCCTGCTCGAGGGCAAAAGAAAAAAGAGAGAGATGAGAAAGAAAAGGATACGCGTCTTTCACCTCTCATCGAGTTGTCGTATGCTTCTCCATCTCCATTCACAACTCCAACACCGCCACTTTCTGATGATCGCTCTCGTCCTGAATCTCCCTATAGAGTTGCATGTTTCAAACCCGAGATAAAAGATGAGCCTGAGATAGTCAAGAGAACACCTTCTCCTCTCGCTATTCCCCCTGATTATGCATTCAGAGTATCACCTCAGCGGCGTTCACCTCGAATGTTTAATAAACGTTCACCTTCGCCTGAATGGTCTCAATCATCTCGCAAATCACCTCGAAAGCAACTTGATGAGCCATTTAAAGTGCCTTCTGCACCAGCTCGACCCATTAGTCTCGATGCACCTGGTACCTCTGGTTTTGTTGCCTCATCTAGTGCGGGCGGTGGGCCTGACCCAAGTCCAAGTCCTAGCTCTGATTCTGGCTCTACAGCGACTTCCAGTTTTAGCTCTGGTTCTCACTTGTACCATACCTCTTCCTCTTCCTCTGGATCTGGATCTGGCTCTGGCGGTGGCTCTGGCCCTGGATCTGGCGCTAGTTCCATCTCCGGCTCTATCTCGATTCCAGATCCTTCACATAGCTCTAGTGACCGCCCAAGTCCGGTTGAAAAGCCTGAAGATTTTGACATGATATTGGACCCTTTTAAAGTGTGTACAATCAAAAATTTTATCCAGGATCGAGACTATTTAGAAAAACTTCGTAAATACTTGACGTTTAAATTACCCTATGAAAAAAGAAGCGCTGATATGTTTGAATATTATCAAGGGAATGATGATGAATTTTCAAAAAATCGTCTTGTCCAATCCTTAGAGTACACCTTCGTCGATAAACTTGTCCCTTTTATGTCTTATATGTTTGGATTCCCTTTGCGTAAAGACAAATTGACGCTGAGTGCTTCTAAATATTCATTTACTAACTATTTGCTTTGCCATGATGACGTTTATGAGGATAAGCGGATCGCTTTCGTGCTTTATCTTAGTAAAAAGTGGAAAAAAGAATACGGAGGTACACTAGACTTTTTTGGAACAAACAGTAAGTATCTTAATCAACCGTTTGTACCATTTTTAATCTTCAAATGATATCATTAATTTTGCTCAATACATACCCGAAACTAAATAAGTTATTCTCTTTCAGAACACAATGATCCTACTAAACCCATTACCAGCATAATACCCGAATACAACAGACTTATTTTTTTTGAGATATCCCCCATTACTCATCATCAAGTCTCTGAGGTTATTGTTCCTGAGCATGACCGAATAACAATTAATGGATGGTTCCATGGCGTTTTCCCTCCAGCAAAAATTATTAGGGACCCAGAACCACAGATATCTGAAATCAGACCTGCTAATGTTTCAGATGACCATATATACATTGATAACTGGATGCACAAGATGTATTTTTCAAAATCGCGTCAAATGAGGATACAGGCTCTATTCAAAGAGAATGGATATGTTTATCTTCCTGGTTTCATGCGTAAGGAAAAATTTAAAGAAGTAGTCAAAGCTCTACGAGAAGCAGATGGCTGGATGTTTATAGGTCCACCAAACAGACGGAGATACGAAGTTCTACCGGAAGATTTATTACCTAATATTGTTAAAGATTGTCTTCGATTTTTTATTTGCGAGGCAATGTTTCTAACTATGTTTAACTTTACTGGATGCAAGCTGCATGCCCTGGCATTCGCTGCACCAGAGGTAGAAATTCAACTAAAATTTGCAAAATATCGTATGGATGAATCGCCTGATGCTGAAACTGCTGAAGATATAGAATGTGACACTGAAATTTTGGATATTGCTACTGCTATTGAAAGAGGTGAGCCCATTGCCGCCAATGTACTTTATGGTCAATTTCCACCATCACCAAATTCACCAGAAGAAGCCATCAACTTCTAAAAAAACAGCTACTCCAGCATCTCCTAAGAGAACTGTTTCTTCGGAGAGACCACCAACACCACCAAGAACTGTTTCTTCGGAGAGACCACCAACACCACCAAAACCAGAATTTCTAAAAAAACTAGCATCTCCTAAGAAAACTGCTTCTACCGACACCAGAGAGACCATCAACGTCTAAACAATCGCCAACGCTAGAGAGACCATCAACATCTAAACAATCGCCAACGCTAGAGAGACCATCAACATCTAAACAATCGCCAACGCTAGAGAGACCATCAACATCTAAACAATCGCCAACGCTAGAGAGACCATCAACATCCAAACAATCGCCAACGCTAGAGAGACCATCAACATCTAAAAAACCACCGACGCCAGTAAAACCAGCATCTTTAAGAAGACCAACGCCTTGGAGAATGTCACCTGATATTGATCCAATACCAGGAACATCGAAGTCCCAGGACGCACCAGTAAAAGTTGTAAAAAAAGAAAGACCGACTTCCTGGCTTAAAGATAAAAGGTTAGACCCAAGAGCAACTATAATAATTCGTCGATGGCAACCTGGAAGTTATAGTTTAGCTACCGATGATGAAGACGTTTTGGCTCCTCAAGGTGTTCTCGATGTTCATTTTGCATTTGATCATGTTGCCGGTACCTGTCAAACCCATGGAGGTTATATAAGCTATGTTAACAAAGAAACAGGAGAAGAGTTTTATAGATGTACTCCTCAAGAAAATGTGCTTCATTTGGTTTGGTTGCCTCCTTCGGAGTATCGTTTCATTAAATACCATAATGTGCTCGCTGAACACGTCTATTATGATATCAATGTTATCTACAAAGAATAAATTTTATAATAAATACTTGCGCTAGCTAAAAACATTTATATCTCTTACACTCGTTAATAAATTTTTCTCGGAAATTAATATTGATACCTCAATTGTTAATCCTTATCTTTACGCGGTTAAAATTTTAATCCTTTCATTTTTCTCACTAAAGACAAATCTGTTAACCTTATTTCCAAGAAAAAGGCTTTTCAATGTTCATTTCATTATTTTTTACTCGCCTTCTAGCGGCTTGTGTTCCTAAACTGGTCAAACATTCACTAAAGATAGCTCATTAAAGATGAGGATACTCAGCAAGGACCCATCGACCGGAGGGGAAAGAGGAAGAAGATGAAAGTGTAAGCATAACAATTAAGAGTATCTGTCATATGTCTCAAAGCTGGCTGAAAGAGGAAAATCTTTTCTTCATGGGGTTTCTCTTTCTTCTCTCCCGAATATTACACTCTTTATACTTTCACTCGTTTTTACTACGTGTTGACCAGATAATACCCAATTCATTGGAAGCTGTCACTTTTAGCCTTCGGAAGATTGTCACAAGCAACTATGGACCATTTTATAATCCAATTAGCTCTAAGTGAGGCTGCGACTGGTCAAATCAAATTGTTTCAACGCCCCAATTGTTGGTGTCTCTGAACATACTTCACTATCACTCTCATCTTCAACAATCAGATATCGCTATCCACATTAACGTCAACCATTCGAAACATCAAAAAGTTCAACTTTAATTTTTCTTATCATTTCATCATCTCAACAAATATGTTTTTACTGGTTGTTTTAATTGTCGTTTTTACAGTCCTACCCTCTCCAGCCAGTTTTTGGTCAATCGGAAATTTTATGGTCACCGGTGGAAGTGTTATTGAACCTTACATTGATTTAATTGCATTAGGAATACAAGTCGGTCAACAGGAATGTCAATATCAATTCAAATGGTCCAGGTGGAATTGTCCTGAAAGTGCTTATGGAAATATATTAAATCCAGCAAAAAGAAATCGTATTAAAGGTATGTTGATTATTTAATTTGCTCTTGCGAAAACCATTTCTATTGTTTAATATTGTTTAATACAATTTTCTGTCTATTTATCATTTTTGTTTGATTAGCGACGAAAGAGTCAGCCTTCATGCATGCAGTTATGAATGCTGCTATCGTTCATACAATTGTGACCAAATGTCAAACTGGTCAACATAAAAACTGTACCTGTAGCGTTGACAAGAACCCAGACGATTTTTCTGTTAAAGGATGTTCGGCAGCAATTAAAAATGCCATTAAAATCACTCGAGACTTTGTCGATAAAAAGGAAAGACTAGATACTTGGGGATCCATCAATATCCATAACAATCAAGTTGGACGACAGGTTAGTTAGAAACCAAACTTATTTTTTGATCAATCTAACTTTGCTAAATTATCATTACATTATTATATTTTTTGTTCACCTCTAGATTGTTCAAAAAACCATGAAAAAAGTTTGTAAATGTCACGGTGTCTCTGGATCGTGTAACATGAAGTCCTGTTGGTTGAAGATAAATGATTTCCATTGGATTGGTAAACGGTTGAAGCTGGCTTATAAAATGGCAAAAAAAGTTGGAGAAGAGAATGATTTGGAGAAAGTTGCTTCTTTTAAACCCTTCCAGTCAAGTTTAATTTACCAAGAAGAATCGCCTGATTACTGTTACCCAAATCGTTCTGCTGGTTCAATTGGGACTCTTGGTAGACAATGTGCAAAAGGCTCTCGAACCAATGGATCTATGGAAACTGACGATGATAAAAGTAATTGTAATAAATTGTGCCGCCAATGTGGATATAATGTAAAAGAAGTGTTAGATACGAATAATTTCAACTGTAATTGTAGTTTTGTTTGGTGCTGTAAGGTACAATGTGCTGTTTGTCCACCCAGAATAGTCTCTGTATGTTCCGTCTAAATCCTCTTAATATAAACTTTGTAATAACTTGATAAATTTGATTTGAAAAACTTTAAATTAAAGTATAATCAGAATTTTAATTTAAATAATTGTAACGCAAGAATGAATCTAAAACATTTTTGTTAACCTTTTCCTTTGCTTGTAATTGATAAAATTTCAGTTAAAAACTTTGATTAACAACAAAATAAATTAAATTTTTTACACAGAAAGCAAATGATTGTCAAATATTGTTTTAATCATCCTGTAATTGTTAACGTCGTAAAAACTCTTGTAGTTATTAGTCAATTCTTAGATGACCCCCATATACATTGTGGATAATTGGCGCCACAATTTTGAATTGAAGCTGTTTATATTGTCTTGTTTCTTTTTGTGTATGTTTTGTTTTCTTTGAGTTATAATAACTTATCTTTTTTGAGAACCAAATAATAATTTTTTTTTCATTATGCCTCGTGAAATGATAACCCTTCAGCTGGGCCAATGTGGAAACCAGATTGGTTTTGAATTTTGGAAGAAAGTGTGTGCTGAACATGGTATTAGTCCTGAAGGAGTTTTGGAAGATTTTGCCACTAATGAAGGATATGATAGAAAGGACGTTTTCTTTTACCAAGCTGATGATAACCACTATATACCAAGAGCTGTACTGATTGATTTGGAACCCAGAGTAATCAATACCATCCTCAACTCTCCATACTCTAAGTTATATAACCAAGAAAATGTATATCTTTCAAAAGATGGAGGAGGTGCTGGTAATAACTGGGCTCGAGGTTTTTCTTCTGGTGAGGGTAAACTTTACGAAGATGTGTTTGATATCATTGATCGTGAAGCTGATGGAAGTGACTCGCTCGAAGGTTTTGTGCTCTGCCATTCGATTGCTGGTGGTACTGGGTCTGGTTTGGGTTCATTTATGTTAGAAAAACTCAATGACAGATTCCCTAAAAAGCTCATTCAAACATATTCAGTTTTTCCAAATCAAGACGAAATCAGTGATGTCGTTGTCCAGCCATATAACTCTTTGTTAACTCTTAAACGACTAGCATTAAATGCTGATTGTGTCGTTGTTTTAGATAACACGGCTCTCAACAGAATAGCTGTGGAAAGATTGAAGCTTACCAACCCTTCATTTGGCCAAATAAACTCTCTTGTAAGTACCCATCATATTTTAAGATTGAAAATCTAATTTCTTCATTTTTTCTGTTTTGTTTTATCGCAGGTTTCAACTATTATGTCTGTCAGTACCGCTACTTTAAGATACCCAAGCTACATGAACAATGATCTGATTGGTTTAATAGCACCTCTCATTCCTACACCAAGACTTCATTTTCTGATGACAGGATATACACCTTTGACAACAGATCAAGAAGCGACAAATATTCGTAAAACAACTGTGCTGGATGTGATGAGGAGATTACTTCAACCATCAAATATGATGGTTTCAACAGCCATGCATGATAAGAACCAGGGCCATTGTTACATCTCTATTTTGAATATTATTCAAGGAGAAGTTGATCCTACTCAAGTGCATAAAAGTCTACAGAGGACAAGAGAAAGAAAATTGGCTCAATTTGTGCCATGGGGACCTGCTGGTGTACAAGTAGCCCTGTCTAAAAAATCTCCTTACATACAAACTTCTCACCGAGTTTCAGGTTTGATGCTCGCCAATCATACATCAATATCTAATGTAAGTTTGGTTCATTCTCACTTTAAATTTTCTTATTAACCAATTTCATTTCATTTTTCTCGTAGCTTTTTGTTCGAACACTGTCTCAATATGGTAAATTACGAAAAAGAGAAGCTTTCCTTGACGAATTCAGGAAAGAATCATTATTCAAAGATGGTCTTGATGAACTCGATTCTTCCAAAGAAGTTGTTCAAGAACTGATTGATGAATATCAAGCTGCCACAAGAGCTGACTACTTAAACTGGGGTATGACTCGCGAAGAAACAGTCTCAGCTTAAACATCCTAATAATTCTCAATGTAACTATCTCAATTGCCAAATTGTGACTCTTCTGTGAATATTAAATTAATTGTTGACTAATTTTTTGATTAAATCAGACCTGTCAAGTCTTAAAAGTGTTAATAATCAAGCCAAGAAAATAACTTTCTGTATCTAAGCATGAACAAATTTTCGATTCAAAAAAGCATTTAACATCCATTATTGAATGTTTTTATTGGTTTCAAACAAGTTACAGGATTCACTTGATTATAATAACCTAAAGAAGTCGAGCCTCAGGTATTCTGGTTGTGAACCGAGGAGAATGGAACCTCCTGTCAATCTTGGTTGGAAGTGGGAATCGTAATTTAGCCTTGTGGAATTGCTTCACATTGGGTCGACGACACTTAGAATTAGGGATAGATTGGATCTTGATAATTTGAATAGTATCGGCTCGAGCTCGATGACGTGCACCCATATCACGATCTGAAAGATTGAAAGGCAGAGAATGAGTTTAAAGATTAATAAATGTGCATGTGGAAAACTGTGATGTGATAGTGACCGCAAAATACTTACAGCATTGGGTAACAGCATCAGCAACTGAAACATCACGATATTCTCTGTACATGTTGTGTGTTCCTGTACGTGAGTTGTATCTGAGCCATATGCCATAGTTTCTGACGCGATCATTCAGTTTCTTCTCTTGGACTTGCTTAATGTTAACAATTTCACCATTAGCCTTCTTGATCTTCTTAAGACGCTTAAGGAAATACCAGAATCGAGACTTAGCAACTACATGATCCGGTGCAAAGATTGACATACGGAAAAGTTGAGGACTTGGGTCCTGTTTAGATGGGATCTTACGACCCACAATAATATATTGTCGGAGCTAAAAGATAGAAGAGAAAAGGATAATTAATAAACCATAGATAAAGCATTAAAAACAGAAAGAGCATCTTAATCAAAAACCACCTTAGACAAAGTTGTCCTCTAAAATGGTAAGCAATTAGAAGGAAAGACAAATATACAACAATTAACATGATATCAATTAAACTAAAATACCGGGTTAGAAGTAGCCACAAGACTTTAAACCTCTTTACAACATTAGATACACAAGTTAATTTATCAAAAAATAGGACAAAATCATGATAAATAGACTTACCTTGCCGCTGACTTTCATCCTTAAATTAATTAATTAAATTAGATAAACAATTTAACACAACTTAAAAATAAAAGATGAGACTTACCAATTTAAGTCAGACTAAACTGAAATAAAGGAAACGGAAACAAAAAGCCAATGCTTATGCTCATAAAGTAGGGGATGTTTCCTAATAACAATTCGTAAAAAAACAAACTGATTTAACGCAATTTAAATTTTTTAATTTTCCTCAAAATTGTTTATTATAATTTTATGAAATAAATATTCTGAATATAATTATTGATTTTCCATGTTTGCTTTCTTCAAACAAATACTCATAAACAATAATTTACTATAATCCTATGAAGTAGTTGTCAATAAGTGTTTGGTTAATTCAAATGTTAAGTAATTTAAGATTTAAATGCCCAGTCCTTTCAATGTGAAATATTTAATCAAACATGGTCAGTAATAAAATGAATTTTGATTAAAAGCGTAATAAATGCATCAAATCTGTTGCTTTCTAAGCTTGTAAACTGTATAATACCAATAAAACTCATAGATGGAAACACTAATACTAATAAGAATACTAAATGATGGTTAAATGTTGATCAGTACAAGAGATTCAGCTTTTGATTCAGATGGAAGCGACATCTTATAGAAATCTGAAAGCTACTAGGAAACAATTCAGTTCATATTTTATTATGGTCTAATAAGCATGATAGTATCCACGTTTAAATAGACAGAGTGCGAATCGAAATAGTCAGCTTTAATTTTATTAAATTGACATTCCGTGCAATTTGAGTTTGGCACAACTAAACCGTCACCATTAACAACACCGCCATCAGCCGTAAATCTCTTATTATCAATCACAAGCCGTTGGATTTAACTCAATAACGATTCGATTGGTAAGCAATTTAATTTTTCAATTATTTATTTGTTTCAACTCTTTGTCGAGATATTTGATTCCTTTTTTAAGTGAACCAACAATATAATCAACTAATAAGTAAAAATAACACGAGAGACAGTTTTTCCATCAGGAAAAATCAATCTCCCTCCAAAATCCAACATTTGACTACTAAACCATTTTTCATAACCTTTTCTGATTTCAAATTTTCCAGTTTTTTTAATTTTACAATTTATAACCTGTGATCAACTGATGATGAATTCAATTATTTTTGCTCGTGATTGATCCAATTTTAGTGTACACCATTCAATTAAATCAACGACAATTTTACAAGTTAACTCAGCAGGGAAGAGACTAAAAAAGCTAAACATTGAGCTGCAGCTTTTACCAAAGAAGGTTCCTTTCCATTTAATACCTCAGGTTGTTGTTTGTTTATTTGATTGCTGATAAATTGAAATAATTTCCAGTGACATTACCATGGGCATCAGGAAAAGTGTCTAACAAGTTGTAAAATAATTTCATATTAAACTTAATCCACCATCATGATGAAAACATGGCAAAGAAAGCTAAACAACAGCAGCAACAAGCTGTTTCTCACCAGAATGAAGTAATTGCAACAATTGAATAGACAAGATAGTTAACCAATAATACTGTAAAAAATTGACCATTTCAAGTCTGTAATGACCAACTAATGGATTGGTTGAACATAAAGCTGATCAGTTGTAATATTAAGCAGACATAATTACAATCCAATGATAGCTTTCCAGAGTCACCTTTCAGTGAAGCCTCTGTTCATCATCCACTTAAGTTATTTAACTTAAATTGACTCCAACTGCAGCAAATGAAGCAACTTGACGAAGTAAAAGTCAAATGTATAAACATTTATCAAGAATTGATACCTGAAAGCACCTAGAATGAAATTTCCACCACATTTAACATGCTAAAGCAAAAGGTTGGAAAAAATGAAACTCAATTGATGAAGAGAAGAAAAATTTTCAATACATTTATTATGATATATTAATATGAGTGGAAACATATTTAATGTTTCAGATTTAATAATATCATCATGAACAATATATTATTTCATCTGTCATTTCAAGGTTACCTGATAATACATAATATTAATTTGATAATAATAATAATAATAATATAAAAAAGAGGATGAAATATATTGAAAAGGCAAGAAGTTGATGAAAGGAGAGAAAAATAAAGCCTCAAGAATATTCTTGATAACTGATTCTTTTTCATGTAGACGTTGCTATTTTCAGATGATGTTCCTTACAATTCTTATAACTTTTGATGATTCAGATGATTATAATGATAAAAGGGAAAGTCAACTCTTGATATATAGTCTAATATATGTTAATATATGTTGGTTAAAATGAAATGGATCAATATGTATTTACATGATTAAAGGTGTTCAATCCTTTAAATGATTTATTATATATTTGCTCAATCAAATGGTGAAAGATTGTGAACAATGAAAGTTAAATGTTGACTATAAGATGAAACAGTAAAATGGGATAAAATTTTGAAAATCAAATTCAAGTTGAAAGTTAAATTGTTATCCTTGACATGAGATGATTCTGATCGATCAGATAAAATGCTCCTTTCATTGTATTTTGTTTCATTTCACTTTTATTGATCTCAATCTAACAAGAGTAAACCAGTTTCATATCAAACCTATTTGTCTTTATTATACCTTTCAACCTTCAAAATAACATTCTTATTATTTTCATGAAAAACTTCTTACCTTGAAAGTAAGTTATATTAGTTAACCCAAAGCATATATAATATAAAAAAACTGAGGAACCCAAAAAAGAAGCTTATAAAAACCCAAAAACAAAAGCTGTTAAAGAATCAATTTTCATTGCTGTTTCCAATCATGGCCAATGTTGAAAGGCCAAAAATTAGATTGAATAACTGAGCTTATCTGTACAGGGTCCAGGGTATAGTGAGATTGAACACAAGTTCATCTGTTATCCATCCCTGTGATTATTAGTAAGATATAAACCTCTTTACTAATAACAATTGATAACTTGAGTTTCAATGTTTTCCTTGGGATTCATTTTTACTCATAATTTGATTAATGACATTTTATCATGAAACTCATTCCATTATTATTTCATAATTATAATTGGCAATATGAAAGTGAACCAAAGATGATCAATATTTATCACCCAATCAGCTAAACAAGTTGAAATAAAGCAAACATTTGTTATATTAATTAAAATAATTAGCTAACATCCCAAGCAATAGACAAATGTTTAACTTGAAGGCCTAAAAACCAGACAATAAAACCAGTTTAACCAACAATCCAACCCGATTCAAAATAATGGTCAAGACTTGGGACATTAAAGTAAACTTACCTTTAATATAAGCTATTAATTATTTACAATCTTTACCTTGTTTCTGATATTAAATATAAACTAATAAATAAACCTGCAAGGTTCAACAAATAATAACCATTATTATCACCTAAACAGATCCAAACAGAACCGTTTACAGTCAGAAAAGGTAGATAAAATTGAACGTTGAAAGCATTTCTTTACTTACAGCAAAACCTTTTCAATCAACTCAATTCATTATAACATTGATCATGAAACAAAAACAGAATCTATTTCAAGATCACAATTTAACCCAAAAAATGACCCAAAACCTGAAAATTTACATTCTTTAATTGGTTCCATGTAACACAAGGGAAAAATGTATTTATATTTTAATGTTGATTTCATTTTTGATGTTGTCCAATTTCATGTTTTCAACCTTTTCTTGCTTCGTATCTGTAATATAAAAAGATCAGACAAAAATGCAATTAATAAAAGCTGTCAAAGACATTATTTCAAGTTCAATCCAAGTTATCATGACAATAATGTTGCTCTGATAATGAAAAATGATGGAAACCATTTGTTTCTCATCAACAAATCATTACATGTGTAATTGTGTGTTGAAGGTGATCAACAGAGCACAGTCATTTAACAATGTCATCCAATTTTACCCAATAATTCATATAATCTAGAGATAACCAACCATCATCATGACCATCTTATATCCAAAATTCATTGAAAAAAACCTATTATTATCAACAAGAACCAAATAATAAATTATACTCTTATAGAGGCCAAAACATCTTAAAAATTACCCAAAAAAACCTGAATTAGCAAAAGCCAAAGCTGAAGATTCACTATCCATATCAAAACTAGACTTTACTCAAATTTCATTTGCCATCCCATTAACCTACGACCTTTCCTTTAATCATAATTTCATTTGCATGATTCAACAAATTGGTTAACCTTTATAATTTATTCATTGTTAACCCAAATTGAGATGATTTAAGTTGAGCAAAATCGTTAAATTGAAAAGGCAAGTTATTTTGAAATGAAAACAATTTTAAAATCACATTAATTCCCATTTCTTTTACATTATTATTAATATCAAGAAAATAACAATTCTCAATGTAAATGGATTATTTCAAGATGAAATACATGAGAATGTCATCTTCAGAATTACCTTTTATTATTCAAAAAGACTGACTTAAGGCTATTTTACAATCAAACCTTTTCATTTGAAATTAAGAAACATTTCTTATTATTTTCATTTCAACTCCCAGTTCATTTGAAAAGTTGTTTCAAAAAATATTATTTAATGACATTTTAAGCATTGAGAAAGGTTGATAAAAAGGTAAACATAATTTATAAGATTTACTCAATTTCCAGAATAATTCAACCTTCATTTCCAACTTCAACTCGAATCCTTGAAAGGATTGAAATTTTCACTATTGCTCAGAAAATGGAAAGTTAATTGTTCATTTTCAAACATTGTATTGTTTCAAAATGATTAAAAACTAAACCCAATGATTGAATTGATGGTTAATTGAATTAGTGTAACAGTTTTTCATCTCTTCACCTGTTCAATGCAATTATAAATTTGAATCTTTAACAGTTGAACACTTTGATGGCGATAAAATTGAAGGTTGAAAATGATTGATTTTGATATTGAAAGTATAATAACATTACAAGCTAACCAGATTAGCAATTTAAAATAGGCTAATCAATTTTCAACCCTTTCCAGTTTACATCCAAATTTAATTATTTTTCCGTTTCAATTAACTTATCAGCTTCTCAACTTTAGACTTGAGTTTGCTAAAAACAATTTAAATATTCACAACAATTGACGATTAAACTGTTTCAAGTTGAAGGATCAAAATTTATCCATAAAACAATCCATTGAAAGGGAGTTAAAAACTCCCAAGCGGTTCAAATTGGGAATTTGGTTTCTTTATTTTAGCATCAAATAATCATCTTTATAATTGGCTTTTTCGTCATTAAGCTCACAGACTATTGATTATGATATAAAGTGAAACCCTATTTTACTCATTGCTAATCTGATTATATCGAGAAAAAATGATGAAAGATAATCTAATTTTTGTTAAATCATAATCGGTTAATCAATGAGTCCGATTGACTGGTTTTGATTTGAAATGTCAATCATTTTCGTCTAAATATTACGATTTTTGAGAAATGTGTAAATCAATGATTTTCCTTGATTAAATGTTCCAATTGTTTTCCTTAATAGCAATGTTTGCCATTAAATTAGTATTCAATATCAATATATTTGTGTGTCTTCACTCCTTTAATGATAACAGTTTCTTGTTATTAGTTGAGTAAACAAGTTTACAGGGAGTTGATTAAGAAGGAAAGAAACAGATAAATAGGTCAATATGGAAGCAGAAAGAATCTCCACCGGAAAAGAAGAAGATGATGATGATGAGGATGATGAAGTTATCTTCCTTCCTTCCTTCCTTGCTCTTGTTATTCGTCTAAATCTTTTCAGTTCAACTGAAACATGAAAAACAAGAGACTTTAAGATGAAAACAAAACACCAGAAAAGGTGAAAAGAGTTGACTAAATGTATTTGTATAAAGTGTTCACAATGAAGATGATAATGAAGGTGCAAAGGATGAACATTTTTTATGTAAAAATTTCACTCTTTCACCCATGG